TGCAAGATATACTGGGGAGCCGTTCCATCTCAAAGGAGTATTATAACCAGACAGGTCGTATTCCTGACTGGTGTTCTCTCAATAACCCACCTTTGGAAATGATGTTTGATGTTGGGAAAGCTCAGCCACCTCTAATGAAAAGAGCATTTTCCACTGAGAAATAAAAATTTGAATGAATTCAACATTGTATTACTTCAAATATCATATCAATTACAAGCAAACTGTACAAAGTATATGAGACGCTATGAGAGATGTCTTTGTGGAAGTGAAAACATTTCTGTAATTACTTTTCGATATTTAAGTCTTTTGACTTTTGGTTTTTTTTATGTAGTAGTAAAATGGTAGCTTGTGCTTATGAAATGTGTTGTATTTATATCAATAAAATACAGCAAAACAATTTGGCTTTGGAAATTTGTTACATAGTATTTTTTAAGAGTAATAACATTTACTTCACTATTCACATAAGCTGGGCGTTGGAGATTCCATTAATTTCATTATTTTTAGCAGTTACTATGTTTGGGAGCATAGGTAAGCATTTGTTAAACAAGTGTGGAAATGTTCACTTTCTAACTTTATAGTTTATCAACCACTCTCTATTTCTAAGAAGAAATTATTTCTTTGTTATGCAAAGATATTCTATGTATTTTTATGCACTACTTTATAAACATGTATCATAACATCTTTAATCTTTTTTTGGTGTGTTTTTCATCTCAAGGCACCAGTTTTTTGAAATAATGTATTTAGCCATTGTTTCATTTTTATTTTTGTTTTTCCTCATTTGTTTTTAATGAACTACCTGCTGCTGCTCTCATTCTTTCTGGGCACCTTTAAAATGGGAAATTCAGGGGCGGGCAAAAGTAGGTTGACAGTTGTGAGTATGCAAAACAGTTTGTTCTTGTGCTGTTTATTATTGTATTATTTTCCATACAAACAACTGTAAACCACCCCTCTGTATACCTATGTATTTTCATTCCTAAAGAGAGAGTAGGAATTAATATACTTTCTGGACTATATATCCCAGGTTTATTTTTACTTAATCATTTTGCTCATCCTTTTCTGGATCCTGCCTTGTTTTGCCATATTGCTTTTTGTGTGAAGAGACCAATGCAAACTAACACTTGAAAGAACCTGTTCCTGGTATTGAGAATAGGAAAGTATTCATTTTTATATTTGTGTGCATGTGTGTGTTTTACTTTTTAAAATATTTCTACCTCTAGTAGTGGGACAGTGACCATGTTCTGCTTTAGTAGTCCAAGACTAGGACTCATTCAGTATTTATTGACTGTTTGCCACACACCTAGAATAGTTTTAGATAACTGTAAATGGTAACAACAGTAAGTCATGAACTTTTACTTCTGGGGGATTTACAGGTTAGGTGTGGATGTATCCACAACTGATTATAAAACCAGGATATGGTAGGGTATCAGTTGCATGTTACTGTTGACCAAGGAATCACGGAAAACTTCATAGAGGAGTGTTTGACCTTGTTCCTAAAGGATGAGAAGAATTTCAGTAACGGGTTGTTCTAAGCTGTGCGAACTGAATTCTCTACATGAACTCTTACAGCATTTGGCATTGAGATTAGGCATGACTAATTATAATTTAGGATTAGATCATGAAGAACTTGAAAACCATGTTAAAATGGTGAATAAAACTATAAAAGTTCAAAATTGCCATCTGTTTTCTTAATATACTCATTTCTAAAAGTGAGATTCCTGTCTTCTGTGCTTAGCATTCTTCCATAGCACCCTTTCCCCCAAAGTAGAGGTTTTTCCTATAAGCACATTATCTGTACCTGAGGCACCCACAGTTTCACCTTATAATTGTTTCTACACAGGTTTTCTCTTCCTTTCAGGAATGTCAGCACCATATGAACAAAGCCCCTTTATATCTTAGCTTTGAAACCTCCCCATGAGATACCCAGGAATAGATGTACTGTTGTCAGTTATATGAATTTACTATTAACATTGTCTTTTTATAGTAAACAATTTCTAAAGTTCTGTCTTTTGCTGAATCTGGATTACTTACAAGAAGTTTTTCATCACTAAATAATACAAAAAGTAAGATCCCTGATAGCTAGCTCCAAAGTGGCAGACACATAGTGGCTGAGGTTAACAAATGGAGCCGGCTATTAGGGGTTGAATTGTGTGCTCCCGAAAGATATTTTGAAGTTCTAATCCTCAGTACCTGTGAATGTAACTTTATTTGGAAATAAAGTCTTTGCAGATGTAATCCAATTACGATGAGGTCATTGGGGTGGCCCTGATCCAATATGACTGGTGTCCATATAAGAAGAGGAAAATGCCATGTGCAGGAGAGATACTTAAAGACAAAGATGTAACAACCAAGGGTGAGACTGGAGTTATGCAGCTGCAAGGAACACCAGGCACTGCGGGTGACATCAGAACGCTAAGAGAAAGGACCACAGAACAGATTCTTCAAGAGAGCCTTTGAGAGCATGATTGCCTGCACCTTGATTTCCAGTTTCTAGCCTCCAGAGCTGAGACAATAAATTTCCGTTGTTTTAAGCCACCCAGTTTGTGGTACTTTGTTATTGCAGCCCTACAAATCCAATACACCCATTTCTTACTAGTGCAACACATTTTTGCCATATGCCAGATACTAATTTAGGTGCCTGAGAAACAGTGAACAAAGGAAAAAATCCTGCTTTCATGGAGCTACATTCCAACAGAATAGGAGTGGAGAAACAATAGCGTTAAGTTAGAAGGTGATGTCTTCTAACTATGAGAAAAATAGCAGATGGTAATACGGGTGATGGGGTAGTTGCCAGTTGGAATGGGGTGATTGGGCTTGATGTCGTTTCTTAGTGATTCAAAAAAGACAAATTAGGTGTAACAATAAATATATTTGGTTTCTGTACCTAGTTCCTGACAGAGCTAAAACGCTTTTCATTTTCTGAGTGATGGTGGTGTGAGGAGCATTTTACAGGGTTTCTAAATCCATTGGTATTTCCTAGACAACAGGAGTGTCTTTTGTTACAATGAAGCAGCTTTTGGTGGGGTCCTGGGTAGCTTCTGGAAAGAGACTGGTTACCAGAAAGACCAAGACAGGATTAGAAGCATAGAACTTTTAGCCTCACTCCCCAAGCCCTAGGGAAAGGAGAGGGGCTGGAGATGTGAATTAATAATCTATCACGTCTACGTGATGAATCCTCTGTGAAAATACCTAAATGACAGGGTTCAGAGAGCTTTCAGGATGGTGAACATACCCAGCTGCTAGGAGAGGACATGGAAGTTGTGTGCCTTCACACCTGGCCTTTTGCATCTCTTTCGTTTGGTTGGTCTTGAGTTGCATCCTTCATAATAAAGTAAAAAAGTTTGAGTTCTTTGAGCCACTCTAGGAAGTTACCAAGCCTGAGGAGAGGGTTGTGGGAAACCTTGACTTCTAGTCCACTTCCAGTGGACTGTCCAATTCATGACATCAAACATCCTCTCTTGCTAAATGACTGACTGTTACTTTACTAATTTCAGCTGTATACCTGCAGTGAATAATGAACCAAATTTGTGCAACTACAGTTGACTTTGTGGCCCAGCAGAAGGGCATTGTCAGGGTTTAAGAGAAATAAGGAATGGTGACTGCAGGCGACTGGAAGGACATGACTCGTTCCAAGGCAGAACAGAAAAAACAGAACAGTAGCCTGCAGGGCAACTGGGTTAAAGTTTTTTTGTTTTAAGATGGAAAACTAACAGCATGTTTGTATGTTGAAGAAAACAAGAAAAATCTGTCGTTTAGAAGGAAAGCTGGTGAATAACAGGTGTAGGAATCAGGAAGGTTGCCTTCAGGTGGGAGCGTGAACAGCTCACCTGTTTCTCTGGCGGGTGAGATTCTGGAATGTGCCTGGATGTGGTGGTGGTCCTGGCTTAAACGTTCTCTTTCTCATTGGTTCAGAATCGTCGGGGGGACGGGAAGCCACGCCCCCCGCTTCCAGTAAATCCCTACGCTCGTCTGAACGTCCACTCCTCCGTCTCCAGTGCGGCGTTGCAAGCGCCCTGCCCCGACCGGAACACGAACCTGCACAGCCGCCCAGCCGGACGGCCAGACCCAAACACAGGCCCAGGAACAACGGGAGAGAACGTGTCCGTCCCGGTCCTACAGGAACATTTCTCCCTGTATAGTCTACAGGGGAAACTGCCCTACCTCCTCCCGACCCGAGGGCGGGCCGCATAATGAAAGCAATAAAAAGTAAAACGAACCAGAAATACACATTTTCTTCAAAGTCCTTCGGCCTCCTTCGCTGCTTTCACGTGAGATCTTTGCGTTTCGGAAAAGGTGCCCAAATCGGTGCTTGCATTTTGTTCTGACAGAAAGAAAAATTGTCCTCTACCAGAAGGGGCCACGAGTCACAGAGAAAACCAGTCTCATCCTTAAATCGGGGCTTTTCACTTCCCTCGGCGCTTTAAGTAGAAGGTTGGGGAGGAAGAGGAGTCTGTGCTTTCGAGTGCGCAGGCGCACCCCAAGACCCGTCTCGTCGGCAAGTGTCTTCCCGAGATCTACTTAATATTAAAAACACTTAAACTAATTAGACTTATAGACCCCCTTCTTAGTTACAGTGTTTCGGAGAAACTTTAAAGCAAAATGTGAGGATTACAAAAGGAGATTGTACGCCCAACGTGGGGCTCGAACCCACGACCCTGGGATTAAGAGTCCCATGCTCTACCGACTGAGCTAGCCGGGCGTCTAGCAAGTGGCTTTAGTTTTCTTCTTCTTAATCATTACTTGGCTACATTAGGTTTTATTCCTCAATATTGTTTATAAAAAATTGTATCATATTATTAAATGTACATTTCCAAATTATTTTCAGATACTCTTTAAAACATTTTAGTTGAATTTAAGAATTTCTATTGCGTGTGTACACCAAGATCACTGAAAACTCAACGCAAATTCTTATAATTACAGGTTCATTGAATATTTTCTCTGAAATGTTTTAAAAGACTGTTTAATGTGTTCTTTTTCTAAAATTACAGCATTTGAAAGGTATGAAAAATATAGAACGCTACATGAATTCGCGTGTCGTCCTTGCACAGGGGCCATACTAATCTCTGTATCGGTCCAATTTTAGTATATGCGCTGCCCAAGTGAGCACTTCAAGTTATCTTTAAAAACCTGTATTAGGGCTTTCCGCTTTCTATCCAGTGGCATACTGGATTCCTACAACTTGGGGGGCAGCATTAAAAAACAAATTTCACCCTCTAAGAGACTAATGACACTGAAAAAAACAGCGGAGGTTAGCTCTTTTCCTGTAATGTGTTTTGTCAAGGAAAATTAAACGGAGGAAGGGGATTCTGGTTCACTTAAAATAAAGCCTCTTTCGGGTAACTGACTGACAATTGAGAGATAGGACCCTCGGAAGTTATTATTATCGAGCTCAAATAACAAAAGCTGGGAGGAAAGAATTACAGAGTCATTGAATATTATGATAAAGAATGTTAATTATAAGAGGAAAGAAGAAAAACTTTTTGATCAAATGAGGACATACTGAGACAATGGAATAATCTCCTATGAAGATTATTAAGCAAATATTTACATTAAGCAACGATTTCCCAGATTAACGGAGCCTAGAGACATGACAACTGAATGCAATGTGTGGTATTGGATTTTCTTTTGCTATGAAGGGCATTAGTAAAAAAATTACTAAAATCTATACAAGTCTGTTATATCAGAAAATAGTATACTTAATTTTCTGATTTTCAAAACTGTATTATGACTAAAATAATATTGTTTGTGGGGAAATACACAAAGTAGTATTTAATAGTTTTTTTAAAATGCTAATGGCCTACCATTAATAGTCAAGATTAAAATACAAACCACTACAAGATCTGGTTCCACGTCCAACTCTCTGATCTCACTTCCTATCATCTCCCCCACTTAATCACTGACAGGCCACACTGACCTGACCGTTCCTGTAACATACTAAGTTTATATTCCTGTACAATCCCAAGTCATTTTCTAAGTACTAGGCCTCAAGTTCCATTGTGTCTTCTACCTTCTTACCACAAGGTCCAATCATTTTGCGTATTATTCTGTTGCCTATTTCCTCCCATTGTATGTAAACTCCATGAGGAACGCGGCGGAGTTCTCGGGACACATCAGAATTCAGCAAATACCTTTATTAGTCTTAACCTTAATTCTACTAAATAGTTGTATTCACAAAAAAGGGTTCTAATGCTTCAGTAAAGTCCCTGAGCTCAACAGTGGTACCTTAGAATGCAACTTCTTTCCTTATGAGGACAGGTGGGTGACGGGGATGCCCTCAAAATACCGGGTCAGAAGGAGGATGCTAAGGGTGGAGGAAAACCTCTCCCCCATAGCTTTCTCAGGTCTTGGTTAGAACACGTCTCCGCTTTGCTACAGAAAAAAATAAGGTTGCAAAATAGAGAAGTAATATAGAAGATACATAATTCCTAGAAATGAAATAGAACATCTCAATCAAACCGAAGACTCAAAATAGCTCGAAACACTCACAACCAAAACTGAAAAGAATGGACACCTCGCTCCTCCCTAACACACCTCCACGGCTTCTGCAAATGTACCCCGCTTGCCTCGTTACGCCCTCCTTTTCCCACAATCCTCTGTTCCCCAGGCTAATAACCAAGGTAAGAGCCACAGAGAAAGCTATTGGTTGAAAAAGCAGCCAATGAGAGAGCCTGTTACTAGTCTGCGTGCTGCGGAGTAGGGGAACCGCTTTAGGCCCTGAAGCTCTACACCGAACGTGTTAGCAGGCTGGTGTTAGCAGGATGAGCTCAATTGGCACCGGGGTGAGTTCATTGTCTCCGTGTTAATAGGCAAAGGATTAGCATTGAAGGGAGTTCGAACAGGCCGCTTGGGGTGCACCATTTTGGGGTGCACCGGGACTGACTTCGACCAAGCGGGCCGCTTTCAGGTGTTTTCCCACGCTAATTTTTAGGCCCGGGTCTGCGGTGACGGTGACCGGAAGCTTTTAAGTTCAGCTGTAGCGGGCCGGCAGCGGAGCAGTGAGATTTGGAGCCACTTTGGATTGCTGAGTCACTTTCTTTAGCCTCTCAGGGAAACCGAAAGTGGAAATTCGTGGGGCCTGAATTAGTGTGAAGGATTTGGGCGTCAGCCCCTCGCGAGAACCACTGAGGCCAGGGGGCTTGAGATTCCAAGGTCTGATACCCAGCTTTCCATGGGACAGTTCCATGCAGTTGCTAGGGTGCTGCTGACTCACCGGGCCTTCTCCGTCTTCCTGCGAGTGTAGTGATCGCCCACTCAATATGACCCCTCGGAAACCCTATCCGGACAGAACTGATAAAACTGGTCTGGAAAGTGAGATCTGAAGAATCCTCGTTTTATCCCTGTCCCAGCTTTTCCTGTACAGGTCACATAAACAGCACAGTACCGCGGTTAGCTAGGGACCTAACCGTTCTTGAGGATTTTGAAGTTGGACTTCACATATTCGGCTTACTGCCTTCCTTTGTTAACTGTACTGCATAGCTGCTGTATTTTGGTTACTCTTTTTATGTGTTTCTCCATACGGAAAGTATAGTTTTCTTTAGAAATATATATTGGTTGTTTGCATTAAGGCATAGAGTAATGGCTTTCTTAGTTCATCTGTTTCTGCAGTTCACAACATTTTAATACTCAGCATTAAGCCTAAATACTGGTTTTCCGAGTTCGGTAACAGGTAACTTATGTTTGCAGTGGTTTAGTCAATTCGGTTATGTCATCATGCTAAAGTTATGTCATATATATACTTTTTAGGAATAGTTGTTCAGTGATGCCTATTGTAGCAAATTGACTTTGCATCTGCATTAATGTTACCTTCAGTTGATAGTTTCATTATACAAACCCTGTAAAGATACCTGATAATATAACCATGTGAGATATTTTGGCATTATAGTGGTAGAGTTAAGGATCTTCCTTGAACACATCAGGAAACTGAGACTCAGGAAGCAGGCTTATCTCCTGTCTTCACTTATAATTCCGATGAGAAGACTTGTCTGCCCAGGCTAGTGTGGCTCAGTGGATTGAGCGACAGCCTGTAAACCAAAGGGTCACCGGTTTGATTCCCAGTCAGGGCACATGCCTGCGTTGCAGGCCAGGTCCCCACTGGGGGGCACGCAGGAGGCAACCACACATTGATGTTGCTCTTCCTCTTTCTTCCTTCCATCCCCTCTGTTTAAAAATAAATAAATAAAATCTTAAAATAAAAGAAGACTTGTCTACTTGACATTTCTCTCCACTTTATTGTTCAATAGGCGTTTCAAACTATACGTGCAAAGTAAAGCTCTGGATTTTCTTTTCCGTTTGCCTTTTTGCATCTCCTACAACCTTCAGCCTTCAATGAATGGTCCCGTTCTAGTTGCTCTAATGAAAAACTATAATTCACCTTTAATTTATTTTCTTTCCTTCCTTCTTTTTTTCTTTTTCCTTTCTCCTTTTCTTTCTTTTTCTCTAGCATCTCCTACAATCTTCAGCTCAGTGAATGGTACAGTTCTGTTACTCAAAAAAAAAAAATCTGATTTACCTTTTATTTCTTTTTCACTTTATTCCTAGAGCCAGTCAGCAGGGTTGGTTTTGTTTGTTTTATTTTGTTTTGTTTTGTTTTTTGAGGTGGAGGAAGCCTGGGAGGTGGTCTATACCTCAAAAGGTACTGCCTTCCATCTCTTTTTCTTTATTTGAAGTACCACTTTTGAAATACCTGATCTCTGCATCTACTCTTTTCTTCTGCAATTCATTTCTCAGATGAGTGATTTAAAAAAAAATTAGATCATATAACTCCCCCTGTCGAAATTCCAATGGCTTCCTATTGCATTTAGAATGAATATAAACTTCATATTCCAGCCTAGAAGACTCAGCATAGTTTGGCCCTTCCTTACATGTCTCTAATACAGTTTTCTCTCTACCACAAGTGCTTAAGAAACAGTGGCCCGATTTCTTTTCCTTAATTGTGCTAGGCTTATTTCTAGCTTTAGGTCTTTATGCCCAATGCCAGGATGGCTCTGCCGTATCCAGAGTGGCTAGTTACTCCTTATTGGTGAGTCACTCTAAATAACAAGATATAAACTGCCCCAGTGAGGGCTTTCTTCATCAGGTAGTCTATGGTAGTTCTCCAACTCAATCACTTCTCTGTTCCATTTTCTTTAGTCCTTTCTTTTCTGGGTTACTGCTATTTCTCCAGCACCTAGATTTGTGCTTAGTCTGATTTAAAATAAAGGAACTAAAGGAGTATTCTTTGTATTTCCTTATAGTGACTAATATATGCTTATTAAAGGTTTGAATGTTGAATAATTTGTCTAAGGTCCTTCAGTTTGTTAGTGCCACAGCTATGAATTAGAGTAGTCTGACTCCATTTCTGTTTCTTCCATACTATGAGCTTTGTGTTTTGTGTGAAAAAAGTTTATTTTATCCAGAACTTGTATCTATTGCTTTTCAGTAGCAGAAATCTAAAGTGTATAAGTGTTTTCTCTTCGCTGCTGTTGCTGCTCTGACAGGTTAAAACAAAGTCTTTGTTGAGGTTTAACAGACATTGCTGATGTTTTAAGTCATTTCAAAAAAGAATTGTAAGGTTATTACTGCCCAGGATATATCATTAGAGACTAACTATTGCCCTTTTTCTCTTAGTATGACCTGTCAGCCTCTACATTTTCTCCTGATGGAAGAGTTTTTCAAGTTGAATATGCTATGAAGGCTGTGGAAAATAGTAGGTAAGAAACATTGTTTTACTTAAAATTACCATATTTTAACCAGTTAATTAATATCTCCTTTTATATATTTCTGGTACTTAGCCTTTGTTATGTTACTTTGGCACAAAATAACATGTGCCCTAGAATAATCTTAATTTATTAGTAATTTCCAGATTCTTTTCTTTTTAAAATTTGTTTGTTTGTTTAGTATTTTTTCCAGATCTCTTTTTTAGGTCATATCTTTTTTTTTTATCTTTAGAGGGGAAGGGAAGGAGAGAGGAAGAGAAACATCAATGTATGGTTGCCTTTCGTGCATCCCCTACTGGGAACTGGCCTGCAACCCAGGCATGTGCCCTGACTGGGAATCGAACCAAGGTTGTCTGGTTTGCAGGCCCGCGCTCAATCCACTGAGCTGCACCAGGCAGGGCCCTAGGCCATATCTTTTCATGAGCCCCAGTCTTATGTTCCCAGTTGATTCCAGTGTTAACCCACTTGGACATCTTACCATGTTTCAAGTGTAGTACATAAAACTGAATTCATTTTCATCTTTGGTAGCCCATTTCCTTTTATTTATTTATTTTTAATTTCTGTTGATTTTTAGAGAGAGAGAATGAGAAAGATGTAGGATCAATAAAATAATTTCCTGTTTGATTCACTTCCTGTACTCTTTGTTTTATTGTTTAGAATAATGCACTAAAGTGATTTCTTGGCATTGCTAACGTTTTGGTTAAATTATTAGCTTGCTGACAAATTTTATGAAGAAAATTTCTTTAATTGAAATTTTATCAGTTATAATTATATGATCATTGTGTTTTGAATCTAAAGTAGCTTTGGGATGAATTAAAGAACGCTTAAAAAGAATTTCTTTTATACATCTCACTCAGATCTCAAAGACTTTCAGGCCTACTAGATAAATGGTGCTTAAGCTCAATTTCTTAGGAAAGATTTTATTTATTTATTTTTAGAGAGGGTAAGGGAGGGAGGAAGAGAGGGAGAGAAACATGAGTGTGTGGTTTCCTCTCATGTACCCACGCTGGGGACCTGGTCCAAACCCCACGCACGTGTCCTGACTGGGAATTGAACCAATGACCCTTTGATTTGCAGGCTGCCACTCAAAAAACTGAGACACACCAGCTATTTTTTTATTTTCATTATAATGAAAGCTTTTGGAATAGAGGTGGAATAGGGCACTGTTTGTAGAATTTTAGAAAAGTCTATGTGTAAATACTGAGATATTCAGATTTCTACTAGTACCTTTAATATATGACTTTGGAAGTTATGAGGGTGGACACTGTCCCTGGTTTTTTGCACGTGCTATCACGTAGCAAGCCCTCAATCGTTATTGCATCAATAGTCATTTTTTTGGGCCATCTTCTGAGTGGTAGAAAGAAGGTATGTGGATTTCTAATGGCTTATGAAATAGTTAAAATTTTTTGAACAAAAATACATTTTAAGCCCTGGCTGGTGTATTGAGCGCAGGCCTCTGAACCAAAGGTTCCAGGTTCAATTCCCAGTCAGAGCACATGTCTGGGTTGCAGGCCAGTTCCCAGCAGGGGACATACGAGAGGCAGCCATACATTGATATTTTTCTCCCTCTCTCCTTCCCTTCCCCTCTAAAGATAAATAAATAAAAGTTTAGGAAAAAATACACTTTAAGTCCTGTTCTAGGATTTGAAATAAACGGAGTTAGTTTATTTTGTGTTTAAAGTTGTATTAGACATACTGATATTTGCAAGCTGTCATTATCTGATGCTGTAATAGAAGTAAGGCTGTTAAGACTTTAGGTTTAAATGTATTTGTCATTGTATATGAAGTCTAGTAGGGTTCAGAATGATGTGGGAAGCTTTGGAAAATCTTTGTTCACCCAAATCCCAGGCGCCCTGGGAGAGCAATAAGGCCATCTGGGAAAAGCAAACAGCTGGATAGTCACAAGGACTGGGACTAGCACCCCCGCTGATAGAACTAATTTTCACATTTAGTCTTTGTACTCTGCTTCTGCCCCATAGATAGAACTAATTACCGCATTCTGCTTCTGCATCTCGCTTTGCTACGTAGACAGGAAGACCCCGTAGGCTATATAAACCCCAAGAGTCCTTTGTTCAGGGCTCAGAATTTGGAGACTGACTCCTCTGGGCCCGTGCACGTTAATAAACCTCGTACTCCAGAATCCCTCAGTGTCTGGTTGCTTCATTTTCCTGTAACAAGAAGAGAAACAAATTCAAGAAAAAAGTTGACGCAGTTTCTTCCTTTTAATAAAGGAAGATAGGCCCTTAGGTCAGGGAACTGGAGAAAGACTTGAGGAAGTTACTGTGTTTCTCCTTCTCTGCATTCTTGTACTTCCATTGAGTGTAAAAAACTGCGAAGAGAAATACTAAGAAAAATTGGACATGCATTTTGAAACCATCTGTAATTCAAAAAATTGAGTCTAGGCTATGAGGATCTGTGCATCTTAGTAATTTTTTTCTATTAAGTAGATATCTAAATATGGTTTAAAACATTTTCATTTAAGTAAAATTGGGATTTTTAAAAATCAAAACATTAAAAATTAATGTATTTTTTCCTGCATAAAGAAGAAATACTAGTAAAGTACTTTTTTTTTTTAGGTTTTATTTATTTACTTATTTATTTATTTATAGAGAGAGGGGAAGGGAGGGAGAAAGAAAGAAACATCAATGTGTGGTTGCTTCTCATGTGGCCCCCACTGGGGACCTGGCCTGCCACCCAGGCATATGCCCTGACTGGGAATTGAACTGGCTACCCTTTGGTTCACAGCCTGCACTCAAGCCACTGAGCTACACCAACCAGGTGAAAGTACTTCTTTTAAAGATATCTATGATAGGATATTGGATGAGGATCACAAGATGTGCATTTTCCTCCTTGCTGCTACTGATATTATATAGGGTTCTTTTTTTCAGTCCTCTGAATGTGACCTTTTTGTTGTTTGTAAAATTTGGGTGGAAACATCTACCCTGACTACCTCACATACCTTACAATAAGAATGAAATATATGTAAAAACATTTGGAAAATTTTTTTAGTGTTGTGTGGGCCAAAAAGTGAAAATTAGAAAAATTAGATTGTATGTTAATTTCCTTAAGACTCTGGCATATAAACTAATAGAAAACATTTAACTACTTAATTAAGTAATTTGATTTAAGATTATATTCCTGCATTGAATGATGATTAATTTTTTTAAAAGAAAGAAATTTAATCTTTGGAATTTAAAAATCAGGTTTTTTTGAGTGCCTGTTAAGTATAGGAACTACCAACACAAATAATGACCTGTAAGTTAATACTTAAAAGCACTGTATTACAACATGTATATTATGATCATAATTTTACAGAAGAATGCCCGTAGGAGGTAATATGCAAAAGATTAAATTATAATCTTCCCCTTTAGCCTCATTGAGGAATCAGGGTATGGTAGGAAGATTGAAATACCACATAGGGACTAGATTGTTTAGAACAAAAATATAAATAAAACTTTGGTGTCAGTATCTCTTTATACTTGTAAAAAAAATCACAGGATCTCAAAGAGCATTTTTTAATGTAGAGTATAGGTTCTATCAATATTTACTGTGACCCCCCCAAGAGGTTTGATTTATGGAAGTTATTAGTCTTATTAATATTTACCATGTTAAGCTTTAAAAGAAATTTTTAAATATTAATTCAATCAAAATAATAACACAATTGCACATTGACATAAATGATTTAAGTGAACATTATTAAAAATATTTAATATTAGTAACATTTTTAATGAAAAAGAACTTAACCTAAAATGTAAAGAAAAAAAATGTAGCTAGAAAGTGGCATTGTTTTACATTTTTGTAAATCTCAATAGCTAATGGAAGCTTAATAGAAGACAGATTTTCATATCTGTGTCAGTAATGTGTTGTTACTTTTATTGAAGCATGTGAAGTGAATCAATCTTCATGAAGATATGTAGTTGGAAAAATGAGTATTTTAATAGCCTTTTCAGATAATTATAGTTGTTGTTCTATATTACACCAAAACTAGACAAATGATCATTTCTTAAGGTTTTTTTTGTTTGTTTGTTTGTTTGTTTTTTTTTGGCAGTGTGGTGTCTAAAAACTTAACAATCAACTCTTTGTACTTGGAAATTTAAATCTGTTGGGTTCTCTTTGCACTTTGGATGTTTTAGCCGTGCATAATCTGTAACATTGTGTTGGTCACTTGGAAAATACTGGTTAACCGAGTTATGATAGATCTTCCAAATTTGATATATTTTGTTGTAAACTATCAGAAACATCACACTTATTAATATTAGTATCAGTCTGATCATATAAAATTGTAAGTATTGGGAAACACAAGCTCACATTGGGTGAATATTTTCCAAAATTCCAATTTTTGCTTGAAAGAACTTGAATTTTATCACTGACAATACAATATGATTAGTTGGGTTTGGTTTTTTTGTTTTTTTGAAGTGAAAGGCTCACTTGTTCATTATAGAAAAAATCTTGCCATATACTTAAGTGTAAATAACTGTAGTTTCTCTGATGTTTGTTGAAGGTAAAAACAGGTGGTCCATGGGAAAATTCATAACTCAAAAACAGTTTTACTGGTGCTTCTCCCTTTAGGAAGCCATCCTATTTTGATATACAGAAGTACTTTTGAGTACCTTCCATTTCAGTATGATAGTAAAAAGGTACTTAAGGGTTGTCATCTAATAAAATTAATTACTGCCTTATCAAGGACATTCTTAAACTAAAAGTTCCTTCATGTTTTGTTGAGCACATAGCAATGAAGAATACAGTTAGTAGTTTGCAACTACCATTTGTTGTTATGGCCTTGATTTGTGTTGAGGTGCAGCAGTTTTATCCACCAGTGCTGCTGTACTGTACCGTTAGTGCAAACATCCACACGGTGGAAAAGGTAAATGATGTCTTGGTATATCTATGAAAATAATTTTGACCCCACAGATCCCCTTAAAAGGGTCTCAGGGATTCCCAAGGGAGTTCACAGACCACACTTTTAAGAACTTTTCAATTAGAATAAAGAACTGTTCAGTGAGGAAGATAAAGATATAACAGCGGAAATTAACATGAAGTGTTTGTGGGGTGACAGTGAGGTTGAGTTCAGGAGGGCACCGGATTTAGAATAGGAAACTGAATAAGCTAGATGAGCTGTGCAGTTTCTCAGGATTTTTAAAAGGTGGGCCAAGAAGTTTAAACTTGATAGGGGAGCCATTGGAGATACTGGGCATGTTCGGGAAGGAGTGTCTGCATTTCTTTGCAGTATGTGTGTGTGTGTGGCTCTGTTCGTGTTTCCAGCTTTTTCCAATCAGAATTCCCTTTATGAAAATGTTTGGAAGAATAAAGTAATTAATGTATTTTCATCTTAAAATGACAACTTAATTTTTCCACAATTCGAGATTACTTTAAGATCTCTGTTTTAAACAGTTGTATAAAACATGTATTTTGTTCTTTTATATGCTTATTATTAACAATACGTGGTTAGTGCAGAAAAAGCAGATGAGCAAATGAAAGAAAACAATCATAATCTCTCTACCCAAATTAGTCGCAGCTGACTTCTTATCTTGTATGTGGCCTGTCTTTCTATGCATACTATGTAATGTATTTAATAGACATGAATTTAGTTAGTATTTGTTATAACTATCATATGCCAGACACTGTGCCATTTTGTTGGCATCCTTTTTGTGCTTAATGTGTTAATATCTTTATGACACAGTATGGTAGGATTTTTTTGTCACATGATATTTATATGGATATAATTTACTATTCCTTTCTAGTTTTCTAATGTATTTGTTTTAAAGTACTTGCCATGCTTAAAAAACCAAATGTTAACCTATTTTTGTGTTTTAACTTAAGTTTATGAGGTTTATTTTCATTAAAAAAATTTATTTTCTTCTGCTTGTTTCAGTACAGCTATTGGAATCAGATGTAAAGATGGCGTTGTCTTTGGGGTAGAAAAATTAGTCCTTTCCAAACTTTATGAGGAAGGTTCCAACAAACGACTTTTTAATGTTGATCGGCATGTTGGAATGGTAAGGTCACTTTTAAAAAGGTTTGTTTTTTGCCTTTTCCAATTTCTTGTAAAGTAACCGATTGGAATATATTAAAATGAGATTATAAGAACCAGTTTTTTATTTCAGCGTTGAGGCAGAAACAGATTAGAGAGCAGCCACGGAAGTAATTGCAGAGTTACTGGTTTGTGAATAGTTCACTATCTAAAAGAAAGGTAGCATTCTCATAACTTGATTAGAAATTGATATGAAAAACCAACTGCCTTAGGAAAAAGATGAGGGGAGAAGAGTGAGAAATACGTGTAGGAAAGAGATCTTGGCAGCATAAGTCACTGATGAAGGCATTTTCTGAAGCGTCAAAGAATCTTTAGGTTTTTGTGTCCTTTGTGGGAGTCACTGTCATATTGAAGATGTTATCAGATGGAGAATACCTTTATAGTAAGTGGAGTACCAGAAAAAGGATGTTTAATGGAAGGAAAAGTGGGACACATTTCTTTTTAATAGTTTCTTAGGTATCACTGTATTTAACTTATTTCATGCAGCTGGTGTCTTGAGTGAGTACTTTACATAATTGAAAGGCAAGTAATAAATGCATTACTGATGTATACTGAAGTCATCCTGTATGAATATCAGACTTTCTTTAGTGAGACTAACCTGAAAAAAAAAAAAAGAAAGAAAGACTCCTAACCCCACTTACTGAGAAGGCTAGGAAGAAATGAGAAAACCTGTGTGCTAGGCACTGTGCCAGAGGCTCTTTATATATAAATTATCTTGTTTAATTCTGAAACGAGTGAAATAATACTAATCCCATTTTTATAAATAAGAAAACAGATCTCTATAGCTGGTCAAGATATAAGCTGGGATTCAGACGTTTGGGTTTGCATGGTGTACATGTTATTCCAGAGCCCAGTCTGCAGGGAGAGATCCCGTGAAACACACTCACTCTGCCCTTAGCTTTGGTATTTCTAAATGAGATGGGTTATACACAAACACAAAAGGGATGGCAACATAGAGCCAGTTGACTGTAAATCTACAGATAAATTTTTTTTGCCTCTTCAGTGATTATTTTTTCTGAATGTATTTTCTCTCCTGAACAAATTTATTATTGCTAGTGAAACTGATAGTTTTTATGAAACTTGGCACATTTTAACCGCGATAATAGGAGGGGAACTAGTGAATTAGGCAGTCCTTCACTCAGTAAAAACTACTTTACATAGGGGTATTGTGAAAAAATATATATGCTTACAGGGACTTCAGTGATAGAAAAATTGTTATTCTAGAATTTTTAGATCTTTAACATTTGTTATTTAAAGCCAGGAAACCAACGGCATTCCTTATAGCCAGAAATTGGTAAAACGTTAGATGCACATTGAAGAGGGTTGGGAACAGTGAAGGGTTAAATGTTGTATTTCTATGATTGTCAACTTCAAATTATTTGAGAATTATTAAGACTGCACAATAAGCTTTCTCCAAAGCAATAGTTGATTTAAATGGTGAAATTTACTGGATGGGTAACCTTAGGGAAATTACTCTAAACACTAGTATCCTCACCCACAAAACTACAGTGGTAATATAGTACCTACCTTATACAGTTATTGGAAAAGTTAAAAGTGATCATGTAAAATCCTTAGCATGTTATGAGTGCTCAATGTGTGTTAGGAATTTTCATCATTCTTACTGTTAGTAGGTAGCAGTAGATAAAAGGCTATTAAAAGTTCTGATATCACTTCTAAATTCTGCAAATTGTCTAACCAAGCAGTTCTTCGACTTTTTGGTTCCTAGTACCCATGTTCCAGTATTTTTTTCCCCCATGGCTTCCCTAGGCCCCCCAAAATACTTACTCATTGTTCTCTTTATGTATTTAGGTCCAAACAAGTTATTGCTTATGTCCTAAAAATTTAGTAGCTATATAAAAATACACATAGGATGAAAGAAATATATTTTTATTTTATTTTTAAACAATCACAGTTAATGTGCACTGCACAACTTCTTAAACTTGGGAATCTGATTACATGTTGCCCCCCTCATTTCCTGTTCCATGTTGATTTTTGAAAAGTACTTATTTTTTGTTACAGCAACCCAGCTTCTGAGTGATAGGATGATCCTGAAAGGAGTATGAATGATCTAATGTTGAACCTGAACTGCTTGAACAAATCTTTCTTCCAAACTTAAAAGTCTCACAACTCTTGAGTTCAGTACAGTGCCCTAGGATGGTTCAGTACATGGTTTGGTAACTGCAGTTGTAAGCCACCAATCGTAGAAGACAGTGGTTTGTCACATTTTGGTTTGGCATTACAATTTATTAGGTAGTAGAAAAGGGAGATTTGAATTTGTGCTGTTTAGACCAAAAGTTTTAGTAACTTTTTGAATATATAACTGCTTTAAAGAAAAAAAGAGCAATTCTTACCAAGACCAATAGTTTTAAAATTCTTTTTGTTGTTTTATTCTTCATACTGAAATGGTAAATGGAGAGACATGCAGAATTTATTATAGAAATATTCCTTCTGAATGTGATCATTGGACAAAGCAGTGAGTCACACTTGGTAAATTTCTAAATTGTAATCCCATACCCAAGCATCAAAATGCCAGAAGTCTTATGAAGTAAACCTTCAAGCCCAAAAAACTTATTTTTAAGGGTGATGCTTGCTAAACATTTTAAAAGCCTACAATAATTACATACTTTCCTTGATCCATGATACGATGGGTGTATATATTAAATTGGTACTTTCTTTCAGGCAGTAGCCGGTTTGTTGGCAGATGCTCGTTCTTTAGCAGACATTGCAAGAGAAGAAGCTTCCAACTTTAGGTCTAACTTTGGCTATGACATTCCACTAAAAGTAAGTTGATGACACGTTGAGGAGGCTTTTGAATAATAATAGAAGTTTATTAATAAGCTTTTCTGTTTTCTTCACCTCCTCCAGCATCTTGCAGACAGAGTGGCCATGTATGTACATGCATATACACTCTACAGTGCTGTTAGACCTTTTGGCTGCAGGTATGACATTTTCTAAGATACTCAGATCTATACTGTAGGTATCTTTTAACCAACATTTTAACCTTTTATACCCCTGGAAATATGAACTATTACTAAGAAATGTTAGGGCAGTGATTAACTACAACAGTGTACATAAAAATAAAGACTTTGAATAGTGAAAAACACTATATAGGCTTTTTTTGTTACTAATTTTAGAGAGAAACAGAGGCGGGGAGAGAGAGAAACACTGATCTATTGTTCTACTTATTTATGCATTCATTGGTGAATTCTTGTGCCATGACTAGGGATTGAACCTGCAACCTTGGCATATTGAAATTACCCTCTAAGCAACTGAGCTACCCAGTTAGGGGTATACAGACTTGAACTGATGATAAAACATAGAACTCATATTTTTTTTATCACTTCTCAGCCTTTTGGCTGAGATCAATTGTAGAACTCATATGTTTTTAATCTGATTATAATTAATTTTTGGAGGAAGGTGGTCTGGTCTAAAAGTATAAACTTCCAGTTATAAAATAAATAAATACTAAGAATGTAATACACAACCTGATGACTATACTTAAAACTAATGTACAATATATAGGAAAGTTAAGAGAGTAAAACCTGAGTTGTTATCACAAGGAGAAAAAAATTATTTTTCAATAAAACAAAAAATAAATCTGTCATGTTAGACCCTGACATTCTCAGGAAACTGCAAATTGATACTCCGTATTGTCATTATTAGGTAGCCAACTATACTGACACATAGTATTCTCATTATTTCTATCTGTATACTTGAAGCAGTTAGGTAAAATGCTCTTGAATGGGAATTTTTTAATGAATCCATACAAAATTTACACTTTAAGTTCCTGTTAGTCTTAGTTTCTTATTATTGTTAATGTGGAATGCTAGTATTTTTATTTGGGGGAAAAGCTGAGATTCAGTTGCATCAAGGCTTAGAGTACATGTAAATATTCAAATACAGCCCTGAGCAGTGTGGCTTAGTAGGTTGGCACATCTACCCGTACCTAAAGGTTGTGGCTTTAATCCCTGGTCTGGGTGTGTGTCAGAGGCAACCAATTGATGTTTCATCGTCTCTCTCTCTCTCTCTCTCTCTCTCTCTCTCTCTCTCTCAAAGCAATGAAAAAATGTCTTCAGGTGAGGATTAAAAAATGCAAATACAGCTTCTGAGAGATCTGTCATGGCTAGATTTCCCTCAAATAAATTTTTAGGTTATAACTTTTAAAAAATAAATAAGTCAGTCATGTTTGATCAGAATGAACATTTACTAATAATCTGAGTGCTTGCCACTGTTAAAAGTTTGTAGAAAGTAAGTTTATTAGCTTTAGTCCTACCTTTGAGGTGTTTATGATCATATTTAAATTATTAAGGGGAACAGACATTAGAGAAAACCTGAGTGTTATTCTATTAGCAATAAGTTCGACTTGTGGATTTTTTTTATATTGGTCATTTTTAAGTTTCTCACTTAAATTATATTATGAAACACTTTGCTTTCAGACTTCCTAAACTACCTTTCATTTTAACCTTTCAACTGAGCTCTTAATTCATCAGTTCTGTTTTTAAGGGAGAATAGTGTAGAGGAGAAAACTTCTTCAGTAAATATTCAATATACTCTATGAGTCATAGATGTCATAGATGGATAGGGGGGCACAAAGATAAGTTACTACTGATATCATTTAAGAGGCGATAGGATAAATGTATGTATTGAGTAGAGTGGAGCACTATACCCAGTTAGGGAATGGCCTCTTTCTGGAGAGTTGGTAAGGAAAGGAGGGTGTGAAATGTAGGGGGATTGATAAAGGTATTTCAAGTAGAGGGACTGGTATGAAACTACACAGGCATTTCAGGTAATGTGAAAGTAGTCAAGTATACTTGGTCTCTACACTGTAAGATTTATACACTATTGAAGATAAAGGAGCCAGATCATAGAGAAGTCTGCTTCATACTGAGGAAACATTGAAGATTTTAAAATAATGATAATCAGTTATATATCCTGAGAGATAAAGCTCCTAGCCACATGGAAGATGAAGGGAGTGACAGTAGGGAATTGGACTGGTGGCTGTTATGGTATTTTGTAAATGAAATTATATATAAGATGAGGCTGGTTTCTGTTTTACTTGTAAAGGAAAGAAAGTCACAGTTTCAGAAAATCAGTAATTCATATGATTGTTTAATAGCCTAATTTTAATTTGTTGAGCATATAGAAGTGCTTTGAACCAATTTAGATTATTTCAGAAAAATGACTGGAGAAATATGGAGGAATAGCCAAAAAAGAATGAAGAGTGGAACAAGAGTTTAAGGTAGATTCAGTGTAGTCACATCATGAATTTCATCATCTTGGCTTCTTCATATTTATGTTTTTACCTATTGGGTCCTCTTACTACTTTCCATCTATCAGTACTCCTGTATCTACACTGTCATCCTTCCAGGAAAGTTTCATCAGAATGTTTAATACTAAGCAAACAAAGCCACATGAATTTTGAAGTTTCAAAAATGTACTAGTTTTTATTGAAACTACCTTATCAAACTATAATGAGTTACGTGTATATAAGTAGTTTGTCTTAGTATAATTTCATTTTTATCACTGTGTTTTTAAAATACTTTTATGATATTAAGACCCATGGTTTAAACAAGTAATTTACTTTTATTCAGTTTCATGTTAGGGTCTTACACTGTGAATGACGGTGCACAACTCTACATGATTGACCCATCAGGTGTTTCATATGTAAGTAATTTTGAATCATATGGAATTCTTTTAGTTTAATGGTAATTTATGAGTACCAAAATCATATACTTAGATTACATGAAGTTTCCTTAAAATTTATTCATTCAAAGAAAGTAACGTTTTGTTATCATGAATAACAAAAGTCTGTGAATCTGAGGCAAAGGAAAGATCTGTGGTTTTCAGCATACTGTTCATAAAAACTGCATAAAGAACATAGATTTTTGAGTACGTGATGTTCCCTTCATCATTGTCAATATTAGCAGTGTCCTGAAACTATGTTAATTTCCTTCTAAAAAAGGATTTTAAATGGGATTTCTTGGACTTTTCTCTAATTATCTTAACTGTCTTGAGATTTTTATGGTTTTTACTAATTAAAAAATAAGTGAAGACTTCATATTTTGTCATTATACACAAGTATATAAATGGACATCCTTTCATTAAAAAAATAACCTTTATGATACAAAAAAATGATCATTTAGAGTGTAGAACTTAGGGATTTCTGTCTTTCAGAATAACTTTTTTCATTGTTATAATGCTAATAATTTTTTTCATTCCTACTCAAAAATGTCTCTTGTTCATGAAGTGCATATAATGATATAATTGGTTTTTCTTTGGCTATACCTTTATTAAAAATAATCCATAGTATTCTAGAATTAAGTTTGGTGTTTTAAGTTTTTTGAGCCCTTTGTTATTCATTAGGATGTGTTTGATTGTATTTCTCCATACTTGTTTTTTAAAGTCATTTAACATCCTTTCATTAACTTTAAATAGAAACAGTAGTCATCAATGATTTATGATAGTATGTTAGTTGAGTGATATATATATATGTATATATATTGGTGTGTGTTCTTTTTAAATAGGGTTATTGGGGCTGTGCTATTGGCAAAGCCAGGCAAGCTGCAAAGACAGAAATAGAAAAGCTTCAGGTAATACATACTTAATGCTTGAATTTTTGCTATAACATTATCCTCATGTAATGAAGTTTTGCCTCTGCAAACTAAACCTTTTTGACCAAGGATATAGTGTGGTTTGCTGTTTAGAGCAGAACTTATTGACGCTAAGAAACTGAATAGGAAAGCTGGTAACACATTACTTATAGAATTATATCATGGATCCCATTATGATTTTGATGTGTGATTATAAACACTTAATACAATGCAGACAAATTACCATATAATTTTACAAAATCCTTCAAGCCCATTCATGGAACCCTGTGAGCCTTAGGTTGAGAACTTTGGTGTTTTATTACATCATCTCTTCTCTGGAGCACTTTTGTCTGTGGAGGGTCTTACAAGAGTCTGACTGTTCCAGCACTTCTCTTTCCTTTGTTTCTGTCCACAGAAGGAATGAAACCTTGTCCTGTTCCAACTACCCACTTCTTCTAAGAGCCAGAAATTCATAATAGTATAAAGATGTCTTCTTAAAAATATGTTGGTTTTCCTTTTAGCCAAATTGATTAACTTAATATTGAAACAGCCTATCAGAAAGTTTCCAAAAAGGGAGGCTTGTGATTTATCAGTATTTTGGTAAATTACAGTAAGAAAATTTTCCTATACATTTACTATTAATTTGGGACTTTGCTCAACTACTCATTCAATGTATTTAAGGCCAGGGTCTATAGAACATCTTAGCGCTTGGAATTTAATGCTACGTTCTACATCTGTAAGCCTAATTCATGTTTGGTGTTTTAGTAAAATTGACAAAAGGATCTTAGATATCACTTAGCCCAAACACAACCCTGGATTAAAATACACTGGCTAGAATCATAGAATTACATTGGTTATGAAGAGTTCCTAGACCTTACGACTTTTAGACCAGTGTTGTTTTCCATCATACATACACTTCCTGGTGTAGCACTAAGTTCCCATGTTCTACTCATTTCCCTTTTGCTTTCATCTTTCCTTACTTTGTGTAGAAATCTGAAGAGAGTATTTAGAGCAGTCAAGTGTCCTTTGTCTTTCTGAGGTTAAATCCTAGCTAAGAAATGAGCAAGATCACTTCAGTTGAGAAAAATGTATACCTAAATGACAAAAACATGCTCTAAATCAGATCAACAAACTATGGTACACTTTTGAAAGTTTTTTTGGGAACACAACCACATTGTTTATAGCTGCTTTTACACTGTAATAGTAGAGTTTGATAGTTGGAACAGGGACCAAAGACCATATGGACCATAAAATCCAAAACATTTTGCTATATGGCTCTTTACAGAAAGAGTTTGTCAGCTACTGCTCTACAACATTGCTCTGGCCTGTCTTTCTTCTGATGTGTTTACCAAAAATATTACTTAATGAAATAAAAACTTCACAAACATATGTAAAAATGTATTTGTCATTTAAAACATGCCTTTTCACATTTACCTAAGTTTGTCTTTGTATGATACAATTAATTTATTAAATATAGAACTTAACCCATAAGGGCAAAAATATAAAGATTGGTATTCCTTTCCTTCACGTCATCCCCAGTGTAACGTGAAAAAATGTAAACATCAGGAAAGGTAAGAATAGTACAACAGATATCTGCATTTAGATTGCAGTTAATATTTTCCAACATTTTATCCACTTGTATGCCTTGAAACAAAATTTGCCAGCATCATAACATTGCATTCCTAAATGCTTCAGGATTTGTCACCTTGGAAGAATACCATTATCACACCTAACATGTCATCTAAATAATATTCAGTCCATAATCAAGTTGGCTTAGGAAACAATGTCATTTGAAACTGTTTTTCAAACCTAGATATAATTAAGGTTCACACACTGAATTTTTAAGATTTTTTTTTCTTTTTAGACAGAGGGTGAGGGAGAGAGAGAAACATCAATGTGTAGTTTGCCTCTCACACACCCTCTGCTGGAGACCTGGCCTGAAGCCCAGGCATATACCCTGACTGGAAATTGAACTGGTGACCCTTTGGCTTGAAGGCTGGCACTCTATCCACTGAGCCACACCAGCCAGGGCTGAATTTGTTTTATACCTCTCCTAATTTAAGTTCTCTCTTCCCCCAGTATTAACTTCTTTGAAGCCCATGGCAGGTGTTTTTGTAGTTGGTTCCACATACTGGATTTGTCTATTTCCTAACAAGACTGGTATTCTTAAATTTAAGTCAGTATTATGCTTTTTGTTGTTGGTCCTGCTTCCTCATATGGTTGTGCAGGCACAGAGCATCAAGATTTTTTTAATTAAATAAATACCAAAAATATTAATGAAACTAGAGGTAAAGTAACTGATCACCTCAAGTCTGGTCTGCTTGGTGAATACCCTTTATTTTCTTTACCATTTCCATCCTTCCCACCATATCCAGAATATGACAGTTTGCTCAGGACATTTTTTAATTCTGTCACATGTGTTCAGAAACCCATATGCCTAATAAAAATCTTGCATTGGTGATTTCCAGTACCTACCGTATATAAAATTCTCTGATGGGCACTTAAGGGTTTTTTTCTACCCTGATTCCAAATGTTCACTGTAACAATGCTAATTTTAATAAGGTTTTGGCTTCCCACTTTTGACATTTAATTTGCTTCCTCGAAATCAAAGCAAATCCGCCTATGTCCTAAGAACCCACTCAAATCTTGGTTTTACAAGGCTTTCCCTAATATTTTGCATTTTTTGTTTTGAATTTTGTCTTGAATAATTCCACAGGGAACATTTTATCTTACACATTTCTTCATGTCTTTATAGTAAATATGCATGACTTGTTTGCATTTTCTTTTCCCAGATTGGTTATAAAGAAAAAAAATCCAATCTTTTAAGTATCAGGGTCTGCTTGTGAATAGACTAGAAGGGTATATATATATTTTTATAAATTTTAATACTTATCACAAAATTAGTGGTACTCAGCATTATGGTTGTCCAGAATATGTTTTGGCATAATAATTTAAAAACATTAAATCAAGAAACAGGTTCTGGTCTTTTGAGACTTTTGGTTATTTTTCTTGTTTTTTTTTTTTTTAGATTTTATTTATTTATCTTTAGAGGGGAAGGGAAGGAGAGAGGGAGAGAAATATCAATGTATGGTTGCCTCTTGTGAGTCCCCTGATGGGAGAACTGGCCTGCAACCCAGGCATGTGCCCTGACTGGGAATTGAACCGTGGTTGCTTGGTTCCCAGGCCCGCGCTCAATCCACTGAGCTACACCAGCCAGGGCTTTTTCTTGGTTTTATAGCTGAGAATCTATCTCAAGAGCATGGGTTGTGGATAGAGGTTGTGAAAAAAATGTGAAAATAGTTACACAAGTGGAAAGTGTTTCTTTGACCCATAACTTTCTGTATGTGTGTGTGTGTATTTTACTTTCTGTAGATGAAAGAAATGACGTGTCGTGACGTTGTTAAAGAAGTTGCAAAAATGTAAGTTGAAATTTTCCTATTGACAAAAATATTTCACTTTACCTTATACATTAATTCGAAAAGGTTTTGTTTGAAGATAACAGGGCATAATTTTAGAAGGTGAATTTACTATTTGAAGGAAAATTGAAGAGAATATTCACACTTTAAGTGACAATGAATGAAATAGGAAAAAACACCTTTTTTTTTTTAAATTTTTTTTTAAAAAAATATTTTCTTTATTTATTTTTCGAGAGAGGGGAAGGGAAGGAGAAAGAGTGGGAGAGAAACATCAATGCGTGGTTGCCTCTCATGCATCCCCTGCCGGGAACTGGCCTGCAACCCAGGCATGTGCCCTGACTGGGAATCGAACCGCGATACTCTGGTTCGCAGGCCCGTGCTCAATCCACTGAGCTACGCCAGCCAGGGCAAAAAACACCTTTTGACAAACTAAACTCTTGCTTAGATGATAGAATTTAAGATGGGAGGATATAGTGGACCTCCAGGTACTTCATTTCGTAGTTCCCAGCTTCCCAGAAGTCCTAATAATCGTAATCTTAACTTACAAACTTTATTTTATTTTTTTTAAGCTTTTATTCATTTTTAGAGAAAGGGATAGAGGAGAGAGGGAGAGAAATATCAATGTATGGTTGCCTCTCATGCACCCTGTACCAGGGACCTGGCCTCCAACCCAGGCATGTGCCCTGACTAGGAATTGAACTGGCAACCCTTTGGTTCACAGCCTGCGCTCAATCCTCTGAGCTGCACCAACCAGGGCTTTATTTTTGGTTTACAGCTAGCTATTTCTGTATGTGACCCATGAAATTGACTCATTTACATAACGTTATTGTGGATAAGATGTTATGATAAACATTCTTGTAACAAGATGAGAACTTAGTATTTCAAAACATTTTAAAAGAATTTAAGAAAGCCTGAAGTGGTTCATGTCACAGGTATGGAGTAGAATGCTATGTAATAATAATTATTTTTTTAACTTTATTTTTATAAAGGGGAAGGGAGAAAGAAAGGGAGAGGACCATCAACGCGTGGTTACCTCTCACGCACTACCCCACTGGGGGGCCTGGCCTGCAACCCAGGCATGTGCTCTACACTGGGAATCAAACTGGTTTGTAGTCTGGTGCTGAATCCACTAAGCCACACCAACTAGGGCCGAATGCCATGTAATAATTAACAGTAAGCAACAACAAAGCCAGTAAACCTAAGTTGGCAGTACTTAATTTTAATTCTTCTAGGTCAAGGAATGCAGGCATTTAATATCCAAAAAATCCAAAATGGTGGTTCTGCAGTGAGGTTTTCAGATTTTAAAGTTGTAAACATAATTCCCCAGAGAATTCACAGTACCTCTATCAATAAGAACACGGTCTAGTCAGTCAGTTTTTTGTATAAGTGTCTCAAGTTTTACATCTAATAATACATGCATGGGAAAAAATCCTAGAGAGGTGTTTTATGTAACAGTTAAGTATCCTAAATGATCCCCTTAATCTCATTCAACTGATAATTTTTATATATTGAAATCTCAAAAGTATAATTTCAAAAGTCCTAATTTTCTAACACTCCTATTACTTTCCGTGCCCCCCTCCCCCCCACTTAACCAGAACCTTCCCCTTTCTAGTTGTGAAGCAGAACCCCCTTTAAAAAGGTAATTAGTTCGCCCTGGCCAGCGTAGCTCAAAGAATTGAGTGTGGGCTACGAACTAAAGGGTAGTAGGTTCAATTCCCAGTCAGTGCACATGCCTGGGTTGTGGGTCACCTCCCTGGTGGGAGGGGCATGTGAGAGGCAAACACACATTGATATTTGTTTCTCCTTCCCTTCTCCTCCAAAAATAAAATTTTAAAAAGATAATTAATCCTCATTAATTGTACAAGAGTTTTAACAGGATAAGTGAGATTTCTTCACTGAAAAGTGATTCTGGAAATTAGCCCTTATCTGACCTTTTATGTTTGGCTGTAACAGTACATACTAATTAGTCCCATGTAGGAAAGCCATCTCTTCATTGTTTAGTAAAATGGAGTTTCAGAACAGCAAGATGATTTCTTGTATTATAGCAAGGTGTTAGGAATGCCCTCTAAAGGTAAAATGTGTAAGACAGTGTCAAGTATAAAATAGGAAAGCTTTGCTCTGGTACTTCTTTGAAATTTTTACTTGAATGTGTTATGTGACAGTGCCTCCTTGTTTGCTGCAATTTAGTACATACTGTCGTTTAAAGGCCAGGTTAAGGGGAAAATGCACAAGGATTTAAGGGTCCTGCTGAGAAGTTGCAGATGAGACCACTGACTACTGCAAAACTTAAATCAGTTAATGGAGAAAACAAATATCCCAAAAGGCACAGGTGATGATGGTCTTTTCCCATTTGTGTTCCTTATGAGTTACCTTTTTTTAGTTATGTCTCCAAAGCAATGTATCAAAATATACAACTGTGAGTTTTAAAGGTATATTGAGTCATTTGTAGTGTTCATCAATCTCATGTAATGTTTCCTAGTGTTCATAAACTGTATGTATAATTTTATGCAAAGAATAGGTGTTCTAATTTGTGCTGACTGGGTACATGAACTACAGTATTTACAGATAACCAAACGATTGTAGTAATTTTCCCTCTTCTGTTCTAGAATTTATATAGTGCATGATGAAGTTAAGGATAAAGCTTTTGAACTGGAGCTCAGCTGGGTTGGTGAAAGTAAGTTACTGTTGTGTTTTCTTCTGAGTTGTCTGTACCAAACCAAACTTACTACTGGATGCCTCTAAAAATTTTTTAGAATTTGCTAATCTCACATACATATAGAAATTATACAAATAACAATTGCATTCATGAATTATTACAACATGGGTACAGTCTTGTAACCACTCCTCTGGTCAACACCTAACAGTAGCCCCCAGGTCATGCATTAGGCTTCCTTGAAATCAGTTCTGCCCTTTACAATACCCCCCCCCCAAATAACCACTATGCTGAATTCTAACACCATAGTTTAGCCTACTGAAGTTTATATAAATGGAATTATACAGTATGTATTGTCTGATTTCTTCAACATTATATTTGTGTTATTTGTGTGGCTGTGTATTATCAGTATTTGTTCACTTGCCTTGTTGAATAGTATTTTCTTGTTTAAATTACCACAGTTGTTTCTTTTTTGTGTTGCTGGACAGTAGCTCTTTCTTGTTTTTCTTCTTCTTCTGTGGACAATGAGTACAATTATCTTGGTACACCAACATAGCATTTCTATTAGAAATACACTAAGAGTAGAATTGCTGGGTCATGAAATAGGCATATGTTCCACTGTAGTAGGTATTGCCGAAGTGTGTTCAGACACAGAACAAGAAAGCCTGAACAAATTTACCAGGTAGTCGTTTTTGAAAGGGAATGTTCTGCCTAATAATTGACTGAAGTTGTGAATAGTTTATTAAGATATACATTTCATGTTTTTCAAAGATACTACCGAGAAATCAACGTTTTCTTTCTAGTATAGTAACCATAGAGCTTCGAAGTCCATCATTGAATACTCAGGATAAATCATAGTATAATTTGTCTGCATAAGAGCTAAATTTGAGCAGGTTTAATTTCTTATGGCTGTGGAGAGAACACAAAAATGAATTCAAAGCACCTGATATTACTCAAAATACAACTTTACAACATTAATCTTAGATGGACCATAACTATGGATTGTGTATATTGCATGGTGTCACAAATCACAATGTAGTCTTCATTTTTAATTCATTTAAATATGTGGCTTTATTTCTAGTAACTAAAGGAAGACATGAAATTGTTCCAAAAGATATAAGGGAAGAGGCGGAGAAATATGCTAAGGTAAGTCCACTGCATGAAAACTCCATGGAAATAAATATATATTAATAATTTATATTAAATAAGAATTAAGTTGAACTAAAGATAGAAATTTTCTAGGTTATTCTCAATGGGGTGGAGTTGCCGATTTTTTTTTCTTTTTTTGGTGAAAATGGCAACGGTTTTTGTGTTCATATTGTGCGTAGTCTATCAAAAATAGTTGACTGTTAGACAAGATATATTTAATTATACTTCTCTTTATCTGGGTACTTTATTCTAACCCAGTGTTCATTTTTTAAGTTACAAAACTTTTTAAAAAGATTTTATTTCTTTACTTTTAGAGATAGAAGAAGGGAGGGAGAAAGAGAGGGAGAGAAACAGCAATGTACCAGAGATGTATGAATTGGTTACCTCTTACATGTCCCCAAGTAGGGACTGGCTAGGAATTGAACCAGCGACTTTTCAGTTTGCAGGCTGGCAGTCAATCTGCTGAGCCACACCAGCCAGGGCAAAGTCTCAAAGAATTTTTAATAAGTGGCTTATTAGATTCAGGTTGTTATAATATTAAAATTTGATTTTAAACTTTTTCTCCTAACAGGAATCTTTGAAGGAAGAAGATGAATCAGATGATGACAATATGTAACATTTACTTCAGCATTTATTTTAAATTTCTAATACAGTCCCCATGTAACTATTTTGCCTCTTGGATTATTACATACCCACTGACCAATTTTCATTAAATTTTTGTCTTGTAATTACTGAAGTTTGGTTAATATATGCTTGACAAAATTGGTGGGGGTAACTCAACACGTATTTACTTAGCATTGAAATGTCGATTTATGCCTATTTTAAAATTCCTTAAAGTACTGCATGCCAGACTTTGGAATAAGACTAAATTTAAAGCTCCATTCCTTCACTCAGCTAGGACTTAAATATTATATCCTGCTGAGATGTATAAAAAGTACCTACCAATGCCAGTAAATAGGCAATTAATTGATGCCAGTTGTGTACTTAGTAAAATGATTGCTGGTCATCAGCCACTGTTGTTAACTTACAGGTACACACATATAAGAATGTGGTTTTTTGGGTTTTTTTTTTTTTTTTCATTTTATTGTAGACTTAAATATCCACAAAATTGCTATTCTGTCACTTAAACTTCTCAGTCTGTAAAATTAAAATGCCCATATTTTATGCTAAAAAATAAATGCAAATCTATGTGGAAGTACTCTGTAAAAAGAATTGCTACTAAGGAATATTCAGAATCATGGCCTGTGAGAACTGTTATAATCTGAACAGTAGCATCTACAGCATTAAAGAAACAATTTGAATTCAGGCCAATATACCAAGTGAACACACCCTTTGTTGGGCTCATGCCAGTATCACTCCATTCAACTGTCGTACTTTTCCTAGGAAGGTAATCTAGTTACTGAGTCTAGCAACGGGATACTTCTGGGTTTGAGTAGTTCAAAAAGCCAATCACTGTACTTCAATAGCTAACTACTATACAAATAAGCCAAAACCAATTTCATTGCCATGGCTTATTTTATATAAAATTGCCTATTATATTTTACAACTCATACATTTAACTCAAGAGTAACCAGTGTTGGCCTTGGCCAAAACACCAACACAATTTTAAGCTGGATCTATCTATAGAGAGATAATTACTAAGCTGACGATCCCAAAGCCAACCTATGGCCCCCTGTTCTATTTTTGCAAACTTCTAACGTAAGAACAGTATATGGATCTCCTATTATTGTACTGTGAGGAGAGGAATTCTTATTCATATCACTGTAACTAATAACCCATTTTAAAAGAGTGGTTATAAAGAAACTTGAATTTGAGAACCTAAGGCAACTAGTATATATACCGTTAACATCAGATAAACCTAAAAGCTGATAAACCCAGCATTTTCATACACTACAGGTTTAATCACCTAGGTTCAGTTTTAGTGCATTATGCAACTACACTACTGAGACAGATAAGCCTCTGAGGAAAAAAAAAAGCTGGGACGTTTTACTTTGGACAAGGCTACAAATTTATTTTTATGAAACAGTGATAACCTACTGATTACTGTAAACCTTGATAAATAACCTTGGTATCTAAAAAAGAAAAGTGGTTATAGAACAGGTTGGCCAAAATGTTTGCTCAGTTTTTAAATAACATATTCACCCTTACGTTCCACCACTTTCTGCCATCTTTCAGGCAACTTCATAATTCCATCTTCCCAAAACTTTTTATCTCTTTGTGCAAAGAACTTTTCCAGGTGACACTTGCAGTCTTCTAAGGAATTGAAATTTTTTCCATTAAGAGAATTTTGTAAAGACCGAAACAAATGGAAACCCGAAGGTGCAATGTCTGATGAATACGGCGGATGAATCAGAACTTCCCAACCAAGCTGTAACAGTTTTTGCCTGGTCATCAAAGAAACATGTGGTCTTGCGTTATCCTGATGGAAAATAATGCGTTTTGTGTTGACTAACTCTGGACGCTTTTCATCAAGTGCTGCTTTCAGTTGGTCTAATTGGGAGCAATACTTGTTGGAATTAACTGTTTGGTTTTCTGGAAGAAGTTCATAATAGAGGACTCCCTCCCAATCCCACCATATATACAACATTACCTTATTTGGATGAAGACCAGTCTTTGGTGTGGTTGGTAGTGGTTCTTTTTGCTTGCCCCGTGATCTCTTTGGTTCCACATTATTGTAAAGTATCCACTTTTCATCACCCATCACAATTTGTTTTAAAAATGGAACATCTTCATTACGTTTAAGTAGAGAATCACATGCAGAAATACGGTCAAGAAGGTTTTTTTCGCTGAACTTACGTGGAACCCAAACATCAAAGCGATTAACATAACCAAGCTGGTGCAAATGATTTTCCACACTCGATTTGGATATTTTAAGTATGTCAGCTATCTCTCGTGTGGTATAATGTTGATTATTCTCAATTAATGTCTTGATTTGATTGCTATCAACTTCAACTGGTCTACCCGACCTTGGAGCATCATCCACAGAGAAATCTCCAGCACGAAACTTTGCAAACCACTTTTGACATGTTCGATCAGTCACAGCACCTTCTCCATACACTGCACAAATCTTTTTTTGTGTTTCAGTTGCTTTTTTACCTTTCTTGAAATAAAAAAGCATAATATGCCGAAAATGGTGCTTATTTTCTTTCATCTTCAGTATTAAAATGGCTACGCAAAATTCACCAATTTAGATATTTTTTTAAAATGCATGCTGATATATCAGCTGTCACAACACAATTTAACAAAATTGTTTCAAATGAAGTTCAAGACAACTAAGCGCAACTAGAGCCATCTTATTTGCTTTTATTTTTATCATTCATAAAGGGACCTGAAAAATAAATGAGAAAAATCAAGTTGTAGGTCATCAACATGCTTAACTTACTGAAACAAAATACTTGTCAAGACTTGAAGAACAAATTAAGATGACAAATTAACATTTATTTTGTAAAACTATCCACTTACCAAAATGTTAAGAAACCAGAAGAAACCCACAAACAAAAACCACAACTTGCCCTGTGTAAACACTCCTAATATTGTTTCTCTAACTTTTGAATTCTTTACCTTTGGAGATAGGACCCAGGCTTGATCTCTATTTTATTTGCCTACACTGTACCATATCTACATGGAATTTACCATGCCTAGGCTATTCTTTAAGTGTTTTTTCCTAATGACTCACTACCTCCCAAAGAATACCTTCTAAAACTGATTTCTCCCTCTCAGTCCTTTACATGTTTCCCACTCAAACTAAGTAAAAGCTTTTGTTGTACTGTTTATGCATGCTACATTGTTTACTATCCCACAGACAGCAGTTATTCAAGAAAAGAGGTCAGGTTTTTGTCTTCACTGGTGAATAGTAGGCATTCAAATATTAACAGTACATTTTTTAATTTGTAAGAATTCATACTAGTGACCTGCAGCATAAGATACACCATTTCTGGGTACATATCCAAAGAAACTCAAAACACTGATTTGAAAGAATATATGCACCCCCATGTTCATTGCAGAATTATGTGCAATAGCCAAGGTATATAAGGAAGCAACCCAAGTGCCCATCAATAGACGAGGGGATAAAAAGCTGTGGTACATATATACATGGAATACTACTTGGCCATAAAAAAAAAATGAGGGTAATGTGCTAAGTGAGACAGGCCAAAGACAAGTACCATATGTGGAATCTAAACAAAATAGAAACAGACTTATAGATACAGAGAACAGACTGATGGATGCCAGAAGAAAGGGGTGTTGGGGGGCAGAGTGAAAGAAGGTAAGATTAAGAAGGAAAACTGTACCAATTTTGTAACTGGTAATTACAAAATAGACACAAAGATGTAAAGCATAGGGAATATAGTAAATAACTATCTGTGGTGCCAGGGGGCACTTGAATTATCCGTGGCAACACTTTGTAACCTATATGAATATATACCTGCTGTGCTGTACACCTGAAATTAAAGTGTTGAATGCAAACTAGTTGAAAAAAACAAAGTATCCAGAAAAAACACTGGTTCATTACTGTATTCCGAGAGGCTTGTAAATTAAGGTGAGCATAGTCTATTACTTGAAAAGATATGGAAAACTCAAGCTCCGAAAATACATAAATTTGGGGGGAATCAATTCCTTTATAAAAGCAGAGTAATGTATTTTTTCTCATTAAATAAGCTGGGGTTTCCTTTCCACCACCACTGTAACCATAACAGTTTAATAATAAAACTATCATGATAATTAAAGCCAGAATTATAAACTAATATAGGTTTCAAACCAGCTTTGTCATTTAATAATTGTGTCATCTTGGGCAAGTTACTTAATTTGTTCATCTATAAAATGAAGATTATGTATGATTAAAATGGCATAAAAACAAATACTTGGGTATGAATGTAAATTTGTGTAAGATTTTATGTTGAAAATTATAAACTTGGGAGAAAAAAATGAACTAAGTAAACAGAAACTGGTCAGAAGACTGAGTATTGTCAGGCCTCCCAAACTGATTTATAGATTCAATGTAAAGACAGTGAAATTCACAAGAGGCTACTTTTTGAGGTGGGGTTGGGGAGTGGTAAGAAATCACCAAGCTGTTACTAAAATTTATATGGAAAAGAAATTAAAACAGCCAAAACAATTTCAAAAAAGAAAAAGATCTATTAATAGACATATTAACAAAATAGTCTTTTTTTAAAATAACGTTTTTCTGTTTACTTTTAAATTTTATTTATTTTTAGAGAGGGGAAGGGAGAAAGTGAGGGAAAGAAATGTCAATGTGTGGTTGCCTCTCACACGCCCCCCCCCCACTGGGGACCTGGCCTGCAACCCAGGCATGTGCCCTGACTGGGAATTGAACTAGCGACCCTGTGGTTTGCAGCCCAGAGTTCAATCCACTGAGCCGCACCAGCCAGGGCAGAACTGTATCTTAAAACAGACTCACAAATATGGTAAACTGATTGACAAAGGTGAAAAGACAAATTAATGGAGGGCAGTGCTTTTTCAGAGATTGTGCTGGAATGACTGGACAGGCATCCACAATACAAAAGCAAACCGAAAGCCAAACCATACCTTGATACGAGATACAGAAATTAACTCAAAGTGATAAGCCAAAATGTACCTCAAACTCTTAAACTTCTAGAAGAAGATCTCTGAATTTAGTTTTTAAAAGTTTCACTATAAAAACTGACAGACTTAATTTTACCCAACTTAAAAATGTTTGCTCTCCTAAAAACACTAAAAAAGATACAAAAAACTTGAGGAAAAATATTGCAAATCACTTAACCTTACACAGGACATGTGTCTAAAATGTACAAAGACTTTCAAAATTCAACAGTAAGAAAACCGCCCAATTTTTTAAAAGGGCAAAAGATACAGATAAATTCACATTACAAATAACTGATGTTCCCTTCTTTGACCATCTAACCCCTTCAAAAGGTAATATAATTTTATGCATTCCTCCAGTCTAAATAACAGCTCTTAAAGTAAATGCTGGTGTAATCTGGTTAATATACAACGACTGTTGAAGAGCAAGGGTCCTTGCACATTTTGAGTTTGTGTTTGAAGTACATGACTTGGACTTCTCTATGTGGAAACACAATGAAATTATAGAAAAATTCATCAAAAGAGCTGAACTATGTAGTCCATATGGGAATGGGAATTATTAAAAACAGGAAAAGTCAACACTTCATGACCAATGTTCAGTATAGGAGAATTATTAAGATAGTACCAAGGAAATACTGATAATTAAAACAAAGGGAGGAGGTGGGCTGGGATGGGAGTAAAAGACAGAAAATTGTACGTGAACAACAAATAGTTTTTTTAAAAAGGGAAATAGTATATGAGATTTAGTGGTATAAACATGATAACCTGTCATCTTTAGTAGACTGGATTGAGAGTAAGCAGAAACCAAATAAGAGCAGTAAATAATCAATGCAAATATTTGGATGGCTACAATGTATCACATTGCCAGCAATATTAAAAATAAAAAAGAAATAAATACAATTATTTCTTCAGTGGTAAAAAGATACATTTTAAAATCACTAGGCAAGGCATAGAAATATTACTATGCATACATATACTCCATGTACAAACTACAAATGTGTGCTTTGGGAAGCGGGGCAAGATAAATTAAGCAAGGAAATTTACTTTCCTGGAGATCTGCTAGGATGAGCTCTCCAATCAGCAAAATTAGAAAAACTAAAGATGCCCACAATTAGTAGAAAAATAGTTCTGAAAAGGCAATAACTCAAATAAAATAAAAAGACCAATCTTTATGAACAATGTAGATAGATATGCTGTTCCCAACCTTTTTGGCACTATGGACCAGTTTCACCAAAGACTGGGGAAGAGGGGCAGGAGATGGAGCTCAGGTGAGCTTCACTAGTGGCTGGGTTCTTAAACAAGGGGAGGTGAGGACCGGTACTGGTCAAGGGCTTGGAGGTTGGGGACCCCTGATTTAGACAGTGGGAATATATGTGGTAGATAACTGTTTTTCCATTTGATTCAAAGACCACCTGCACAAGAATCCCCCATAGAATGAATTCACTAGTTCTTAAAGTGAGTCCCAGAATCTGTATTGTGAGCAAGTTACCTAACGTAATGCTTATGAATACAGTAACATCTGAGATTCACTGATTTGGACTCAGGTTATTAAAAGGTGAACATGTCAACAGGAACAATTACTTAAAGGGTTTAAAAAATGAAACTGGAAAAATGGAGGATGAAACTGGGTCATGATGGGTATTTAGGAAAACTTTTTAAAAAATTTTTAAAGAAACACATGTCTCAGAAATAGGAGCACATTCTAAGACAACAAAAAGGGAAGTATTTGGTAGGAACTTTATAGTAGTTGGTTTCAAATATCTCATTATTTGAAAATAGCATCAGTTTTCTAAAAATTTCCAAAATGCCATGGAGCTGATAAGGAAGAAATTACCTAAGTATTCAGGAATTAAAAAGTACCTTTTATATTTTAGTGACAGGTCAAAAACGAGAAAAATAGCTCTAACTTAAGGAAGGCCAGGCCAATTTAATGCTTGGTTCTACCACTGCAAAAGAACCTTAGCACATGAGGGTATTCAAATTTACATCGAAACTTATGTTCTACTGATATTACCTAATTAGTTAATTTCATGTTCCACCTACACTTTCCATATAATGAAAAAACTACACAAGCTGTAAGAAAATATTTTATTCTATAAAATAATCTAGAATACTTTGAAGATGTATAAAAATTTAATACTTTATCTGTTCTTCGATAATGTAGTCTAGGTTCCATTCAGATGATAATTATAGGGTGAGCAAGAATCTACATTGATCCTTAAATAGAAATAACGTTAAACTGTATATATAACTATAATTTCCATTGTCCTACCCTGAACATCAGTTTATTAAGATTTCTTTGGAAAGGAGAAATGGAATTTCATTGATGACAGTGACAACCATCAAGTTTTTTAAGTTTTTATATCAAATAGTATAAAAAATTTCCAAGATAAAGACCAAGAGCAGTATCCTTACTTTGAAAATAAAAGGAACTTAAAAAACGTAACACCAAAGAAAGCAGACAACAAATTATTTTCACTTGAAAATAAACTGTTCCTACAAATTACTTCCTGAAATGATAAATCCACATATGGATTTGAAATATAAATTGTAACTAAAGATAAATGTTAAAGATTAAAGTGGAGATTACAGTAATAGAACACTTTTACTAGACTATGACAGCATTTGCTATAAGGTTTGGAAGAAGATACCAAGCTTCATAATGTTCATTTGTATAAATGGTGACAAGAAAATAACAAGTAGCATTGTTTAAAAATATGGACATTATTATTACATATCAGCTAGGTAAATAAAAAAGCATTATAGTGAAAAATAATTTAATACAAATACATGTTAAAAACATAAATTGTGATTCTTTTGAGTGCAATTCAAACAAGGTTATCCAAAGAAGAAACAAAAACTCAGTAGTTGTAGTAAAACCTATCCTTGACATTACACATAAATATTTATATCATGGTCTCCAATTCCCTGTACTTATTTTTTTTTAAGATTTTATTTATATACTTTTAGACAGAGGAGAAAGAGACAGAAACATCAATGTGTGCTTGCCTCTCATTGGGGCCCCCACTGGGGGCCTGGCCCGCAACCCAGGCATGTGCCCCAACTGGGAATAGAACTGGTGACCCTTTGGTTCACAGCCCGTGGTCAATCCACTGAGCCATGCCAGCCAGGGCTCCCTGTACTTACTTTTAAAGAATCAGAAGAATTTAAACAGAATATAAAAACAAATTATAAATAAATATAAAAATATATCTGTACAAGATTTTTACTGAAGACATGGTTCTTACTGTATAAATGCCTAAATATGAAATTATAAATTAAAATGCTGAAGGAAAAAAAGCTGATTTCATAGAACAAAAACATGGTAAGTAACTTATCATTTGTAAATGTTCCACTTCACTATTTTAGTTGCAAAAGATTCTATGCATCATTTTACTATAAACTTTCCCCCAAAGATATTCTAAGATAACAATGTAGTCCTCAGTCCACTTCTATTTATTGTAATCAGTTTTGGCCTATCATTATGTCCCTACTGAAAACGGAGTATATGTGGTTGAATACATATTTGCAGAAGAAAAGTCTACTGGAAATAAAGAGATTTTTTTTCTTTATAGGCTATGTAATGATTCATTCACAAAATGAAACGTCTTTGATATAGAAAGCTTAAAGAGGAGCAGTGTCAGCAAGTCATATACTAATAATTTCTGGCACCGAAAAGTTTCTCTTCCTGACAACCCTCTTTCATAACACAAAGCCAAATGAAGCTTTCTGACAAATGTCTTCAAGTGTAACACACAGTATGTGCCACATTCCCCCTCATCTTGATATTTGGACAGTTTCCAAACAATTTCAGGAGAGATGCTTTAAACATGAAACCCAGGCTCACCCATTCTTTTCCCTAAATGGAAATCTGACAAAACAGGAAGCACTTGGAAGCATAGAGAAGCAAGTTTTGTGGCTTACGTATTATTTACCAGTAACAGACTAGTTCTTCATGATATATAATAAAATGCAGAACTTCACATTTGAGGAAAAAAAAAAAACAGCACAAATCTGTCTTGGTTACCAGGGTTCCCTTGACAATTTAAAAGCCTTAACGATAATATTGCATGATACACAGAGGAATAAAAAACAGGAAGATGGCTTTTCTTTTTGTTATGTTCTTTCATATAAAAACTCCCATCTCTGTCCTGTTTAGGCCATCAATATTATACAAACACTTATAAGCATATTTATGAAAAGATTTTTGATTTGGTTTTAGGGAACCTGGCTTAGGGAAAAAGATTTTGTTTATGCTTGCCACAGGATTTGAGGTAAAGCTAAATATAAATATAAATAAATATGAACATAAACCCGTAAAAGAGGGCGATTAGGATTAGCAGACTCAGTAACATACTACCAAACATACCATAAGCCACCCAAAAAACCAAATCGTTCCCCAAGGACATCTTCTGGCTGCCCTCCTTTGCCTACAGAAACTTAACTACGGTGAAATTAATCAGTGAACCTGCATAACTATTACTACAAATATCTGTTTTATCAGCCAATGAAAGCATTTACAGTGAGGTAGATAGGACATGAAATTTGATCCTATGCTGTAGTGAATAGCAGCAACTCTCAAGGGCTAAAATTATCAAGTCATTTTCTGATACTTCTGATTCTCAGGGGTTGTTAAAACATCAATTAACCTTTCAGAAGTACATTAATATTTTAAGTACACTTTCAGGAGTTCTTATTGAAAAAAATACTGTACTAGATTGGAACAGTTAAGTATTAGGAACTATAAATGCCTAGCACCATGCCCCTTACACTCTAAAAGCAAACACTCTGGCAGAGTAATGTATACTAGGTCACAACCAATGAGATCAAGCTTATGATCAGAGCACAGAACATCTGGATTTCAAATAGTGTTTTCTGTATTAATATATTTATGCAATATTGCCCTAGCTGGTGTGGCTCAGTGGACTGAGCGCCCGCCTTTGAAACAAAGGGTCTCTGGTTGATTCCTAGTCAGGGCACATGCCTGAGTTGTGGGTAGGTCAGGTCCCTGGTGGGGGGGCGGGGTGCACATAAGAGGCAACCACCCATTGAAGTTTCTCTCCCTCTCTTTAAATAAACTGTGTGTGTGTGTGTGTGTGTGTGTGGAGAGAGGGAGGGAGGGAGAGAGGGAGGGAGGGAGGGAGGGAGGGAGGGAGGGAGGGAGGGAGGGAGAGAGGGAGAGAGGGAGAGAGGGAGAGAGGGAGAGAGGGAGAGAGGGAGATGCAATTCGACATCCCACTGAACTACTGTCAAAGTTCTGAGAATTTTAAAGCTGAGTATGTACTTACCACTTAAGCTCTATGAATGCCTTCTGTGAGCTTGGTATTTTTTAAAGATTTTATTTACTTATTTTTAGACAGAGGGGAAAGGAGGGAGAGAAAAAATGTGTGGTTGCTTCTTGTGCACCCCCAACTGGGGACCTGGCCCACAACCCAGGCATGTGCCCTGACTGGGAAATGAACCTGTGACCCTTTGGTTCCCAGCCTCACACTCAATCTACTGAGCCATACCAGCCAGGGATACGCTGGGTATTTTACATTCCTATTTCCCACCATTCCTATTTCTTTTAAATCTCTAGGCCAAAACCATATCAATATTATAGTAACCAAGGATCAAGTCAATGTCTTCACAACATCTCTCATCCAGTTCCTATTCTCAGAGGACCCCTACTTTTATGCATTGAGGCATTATAAGAAAAATGTACTTGCAGAGTGAAAGTATGGTTTCAATAGCTGATTGAGCCAGGTTGCTTATATATTCTGTGTTGGCAGTAGGTGTACCCTGAACTAGCCAAACTTTTCAGAAATCTGGATCATTGCTGATAATGAAGATTAGTGGGTGGGCAGATCTATGAAAAAATCAGTTTCTGTCAGAAAAACAACCCCTTTGATGGTTATTAGACATAGTATCTTTAAACAAACAAACAAACAAACAAAAACCAGGAAGAAAATATTCTAATGAAAATTCCTGACCTGTGGATAGTGCCCCTTATGCTCTACGCTGTACATGTTCTTGATTCTGACCCAATTTCTAAAACCTCAAGTGATCTCATTTTCAGTAACTGATCAGACAAGATGTTCCTGGTGTACAAACACTGACAAAGCACATTTTCATTGGCACGTATTTGTTAAACATAATCTTTTAGCTTGTTATACCATTTATAAACTTTCACTCCAAAAATGAGTCCCTACAAAGTGCCAAGGCTTGTGATAGGTTCTAACTTTACAAGGGTAAATAAAGTATAGTTCTCTGCATGTAAGAATGTCATAACTTTGAACAAAAAAATCCTGAAATGCAACATAGAAAGTGGTACAAATTACATAAGAGGAAATACATGAAATTCACATGGACAGATTACCACAGTTGTAGAGATATCATGGAAAGCTTCACCCAGGTTGCAGTGTATATGAGAGGCAACTAATGTTTCTCTCTCCTCCTTCCTCTCTCTTTAAAAACAATGGGAAAAAAAAAGAAGTCCTAGGGTGAGGATTAAAAATAAAAAGAGTAGCCCACACCCACCCCACCGTAATAAAATATTTAAAAAACCCCCAGCAAGTAACTTTTGACAATGTGGTAACAGGTCAACATTCCAGATACTGGGAGAAGTATGAATAAAAACAAAAACCTGAGAAACCACATGATAGCTTTCATGTGACAAGAGCAACTAATACCTAAAGAGAAGCAGAAAGCTTGAGAGGTTGAAATGACATTTGAGAAGGTACTGCATGTGAGGCAGAGTCTAGATGTCTTATTTCTGCATATAAATGTAATAATATATATTTTTAAATGTTCTTCGAATGGCAAGACACTAATAACAGACACTATATTATATAATCATATACACTAACACCACCACCAATATATGAGTGCTTCCTAAATACTTGGCATCATTAGTCTAAGCGCTTTACATGTCTTAACTCATTTACTACTCTCAACCCTGTCAGATCAGGTCTATTAAGATCCCCACTTCACAGATATGGCAGAGGTTAAGAAATTTGTTTTATACCATCCCTCCCACAAAAAGACTGGTCACACTTACACATTCTAAACCTGGAAGTATCTTTGCCACCCCCTGAATGATTTCATTTACTTTCCTGTATTTCTCCCCATTACTATTTATCCCTCTTATAACCCCCGCCCCTTGCAATCACCAGTTTGTCCAGGTACATGAGTCCTTTTCCTTTTTGCTCAATCCCCACACCCTACAACCCTACCCCCAGAGTTGTCATCTTGCTCTCTCTCTGAGTCTGTCTCTATTTTGCTTGCTAGTTCATTTTTTTTAAAGCTATCATTCTAACTGGAGGTATGAAGAGCTACACGATGTAACTCAAATGACAATCTTTGAAAAATAAGGGGTACCAGAGAAAAGGGGTTAATGAAAGAAAACCAATTTGTGCCCCAGAGGAAGCACCAAAAAAATTTAAAATAAAAATAAGAGAAGCAATTAAACATACAGTCATTAAAAACTAAGAATGCAGAAAAACTAACGCACAAATGTTATGTTTCTGAATGTATTAATTACTTTTTCCTCAACTTATTAATAGCATGTATCTTTGTAACTCAAAGCTAGCACTATGATGGGCAAACTTTTTTTGTATATAATTATTTAAATGAGATAGAGTCTTGATATAAACAACAAAGTAGCTCAAATTTCATACATATACTAACTCTAAAAGTTTAGGTTTTATAAATACAAATTAAAAAACCACGTCAAAAAGAAAGAAATTTTTTCTAAAACAAAACTGTAAACTTTTCATTGCTAACTAGCAGAACACATTTTTTAAAGTCTTAGGGGAAAAGGAGGGAACAGACCAGGGGAAATTAACCACCTAAATTAAATGCTTCCTCCTGAAAAACACTTAAAAGTTAGCCTACTCCACATCTACATGTCTAACTGCCAAAGTCCTTCCTTAAAAAGAACACTTAAATTTCATCTGTTGAAATAAAAGGGGTTTACAAAAATAAGACAATTAACATCTTTACTTGGATTTCATATATTTAAAAGAATCTTGGCTAAGCATTCATGTTTCATAGAGTTACATGTTTTCACTCTACATTTTGTTAAAATTGAAACAAAACACACCAAACTCAGTCCACTGAGGAAGAGGAAAGATATTTCGCTGCACATATCTAACCGCTTAAAAGCATCCTGCCCTGGCCGGTATGGCTCAGTTGGTTGGAGCGTTGTCCCATTGACCAAAAGGTCACAGGTCTGATTCCATGTCAGGACACACACCCAGGTTGCAGGTCTGAACCCTGGTCAGAGCACATGTAAGAAGGCAACCAATACCTCTCTCACCCTAAGTAATGAAAAAATGTCCCTGGGTGATAAAATAAATAATCATAATAAAATACAAATAAAAGCTTCCTTATATTTTGTAAGATGCTCTCTTAACACTATTTTTTTAAATCATGAAAAACTAACCTCCCCTTAATTTTAGTTTAATCTAAGAATCATCTGGTTTTGTCCTGACTGGTGTGGCTCAGTGGGCTGGGTATCCTGCCACAAACTGAAAGGTCACTGGTTCAATTCCCAGTTAGGGCACATGCTTGTGCAGGGCAAGTCCTGGGCTGCAGACCTACAAGAGGCAACTGATCAAGGTTTTTCTCACACATGCATGTTTTTCTCCCTCTCTTTCTCCTTCCCTTCTCCCCCTCTAAAAATAAATATTTCCCTAACATGTTTTACTATTAATCTACTTTAACTTTGCAAATAGTACATTAAAAATCAGAAATAAGAAAGTCCTGATAAAAGCAACAAAGTCTGCAGGGGCATCCAACCTGTAGACCATGAGGTGCATGCAGCTCAGGATGGCTATGAATGCCGCCCAACACAAAATCGTTAATTTTCTTAAAACGTTATGAGATTTTTTTAAATGATTACATGTCACAATGTATTTAATGTGTGGCCCAAGACAATCCTCCTTGTTCCAGTGTGGCCCAGAGATGCCAAAAGGTTGGAACTCCATTAAAGAACAAAACTGAAAGTCAAAATACAAGGGCCAGTATATGCCTTGTCCCAATTAGGGACCTCATAGACACTTTGACAAAAGAACAGATGCTTACTGGACTTTCCAAGCTCTAACTTACATGTTTAAAATTGATTTCATCTTCCTTACCAACCAGTGGTCTTTCCAAATTAGTTAATACTACAATCTATTCCCTGCTCTTTAAAATCCTGAGTGTTTTGTTTTCTTTCTTTGTTACCTTTATAATCAGTTAGAGGGCATATGCTCTCAACTCTTGCTTGCTCACCTATTCCTCTCTTTAGGTCCTACTCCAGTTTCACCTTAGGCTAACACAACTGCAACAGTATCTAATTGTCTCCCTACCTCTAATTCTTGTGTCACTTCTTCAGACACACTGAACACTTTCCAAATAACTTTTCAGTAATGTATTTGTGCACATCATACCCCTCTGTGTCTGTTCCAAAACCCTTAACTAAATATCTAAAGTTAAACGGGAATTCTACATGGAAAAGTATCTGCACCAAATTACTACTGAGTAGTATTTAATAAACTTGGAAGATTTTAAAAAAGTATCAAGACGCTACGCTACATAAATGGACAGAAGTCTTGAGTAGACAAGGTATCTATTACTAATAATCATCAGTAAGTGAAATTACAGAAAATGCTCCAACCTCACTAGTTAACAAGGAAAAAGAGAATGCAACATATTTTTAACCTATCAAATTAGCAAAAATGATTAGACTATCCAAAGCTGGTAGTTAAACTCACAGGGACGATGACAGTATAAATTATAACTGTTCTAGAAAACAACATGGCAGTGTTTCAGAAGTTATAAAAAATTAAACTCACTCTAGAAGACAAAAACTTCTTTTAGATTTGAGTATGCTATAGCCCACACAATCAAAACACACACAGTTTTAAAATTTCCACTAAAGAAAAAATTTCTTCACTTTTAAACATTTTCACTGATGAGATCTTTATATGTCAAGTATTTTACCACAGGTAAAAACAAACAAAAAAACATCAAAGTATTCACAGTGTTCTGTGATTAAGAGTCCAGAAATGAAATCCATGTGCATGAATAAACAAATCCACAGGGATGATCTAATTTTGCGATTTTAGTCTAAAATACTACTTAGGGAGACTAATTATATAGACTCATCGAAACCTCTGATCCAATAAATAAAACATTCTGCATTTAAAACAGCATTTAATCAACAGAAGCAACTAAAAATTTGACAATTTTGATTTTGTAGGAAACTATTCTAAAAATTAATTTGGGCCTATTGAAACTAGTTATAAAGAACATTTCTATCACAATTTTTTTCATTCATGCCCAAGAGATGGTCTGGTGATTTAGTTACAGTTGCTTATAAGAGATCATAAAATCCCATTTTAAAAAACTGAGGAAACAACACTGGCTGGTATAGCTCAGTGGATTGAGCATGGGCCTGTGAAGCAAAGGGTCACCGGTCCGATTCCCAGTCAGGGCACATGGCTGGGATGTGGGCCAGATCCCCAGTAGGGGACACATGACAGGCAACTGCACATTGATGTTTCTCTCCCACTCTTTCTTCTTCCCTTCCCCTCTCTCTAAAAAATAAATAAGCAAAATATTCAAAAATGAATAAATAAACTGAGGAAACAAAATCTCAAATAACTATAGTTTTAAAAGGTTTTTAAAAACTATTTTTAGAGAAAAGGGAAGAGAGGGAGAGAAACATCAACTGGTTGCCTCTCACTCAAAGGGACTGAACCCACGACCCTGCATGTGCCCTGACTAGGAAAGGAACCTGCAACTTTTCACTTTGTGGGACAAGGCGCAACCAACTAAGCCACACCAGTCAGGGCTTGAATAACTGTTCTTTCTGGTTTTTGTTTTTTAAAGGTTGTATTTATTTATTTTTAGAGAGAGGGGAAGGGAAAAAGAGAGGGAGAGAAAGATCAGTATGTGGTTGCCTTTGGGCACCCCCAAATGGGGACCTGGCCAACAACCCAGGCATGTGCCCTGACTGGGAATCAAACCAGCAATCATTTGGTTCACAGGCCCATGCTCAATCCACTGAGCTACACCAGCCAGGTATTCTTAATGACTTCTCTAAATTTATATTACAAATCAATGTGGTATTAAATAAATATCTGGACCATTAAAAGTATTTTGAAGGTTAAGACAGCATCTGAGGAACATCATGAATTCTTAGAAACAAATTACTGTGAAAGTAAACCTAAGAGCTTAGAGAGTTTATTTTATATATTTTGTGTATGAAAGTACATACAGATTTATAAGAAATATTGACAGAGCATCCATCATGTACTAGGCAGGCAAACATAGCAGTGATTAAAATCCCTGTTGCTATCTCCTCGAAGTAGTGACTTAGACTGGGGAACAGCCAAACTAAAGGTTATGAGAAGCAAGTAAAGGGTCTTTGTAAGGGTACAAAAGCAGCAAGAGAATCCACGTAAGAATGGAAAACTTTAGGGAAGGGTACAAGAAACAAAATAGTTAAACTTATGTTTTTGGCAACCTCTAAATTAAATTTCTGTGTAGCAGAATGTTTCATTGCATAAATGCCTAACTACTTAGAGTAAAAAAATTAATTAGTTTTAAGAAATTATTCCTAAGGTCCTATAAAAATTCTCAAATTAATTTTACTACACATGTGACTTAAAGACTGTAATAATTTTAATTGAATAAACAGAGACCCAGGAGAGAAATTTTAAAAAATAAAGCTAGTGAAAAAACAGAAAATTAGAGAAAATGTAGTAAAAGCAAAAAGGACAACAAAAATGTAAGTGCGGTAAGAGCAAAAGTTTTTTTTTTTTTTAAAGACTTTACTTATTTTTAGAGGGGAAAGGAGGGAGAAAGAAGGGGAGAGAAATATCAACATGTGGTTCCCTCTGGGTGCCCCCAAATGGGGACCTGGCTTGCAACCCAGGCATGTGCCTTGACTGGGAATCGAACCAGAGACCCATTGGTTCACAGGCCAGCCCCCAATCCACTGAGTCACACTAGCCGGGGCAGAGAAAAAGCTTTTTGATGGAAAACTGTACAAGGATCAAAAGCCTTAAATGTATAATCCCTTTGGCCTCATACTTCTACTTCTGGGAATCTATTCTAAAGAAATCAGGGATGTAAAGAAAAAGTTTTAGGACTAGGAATTTTAGGCATAGATATCAGTTCTTAGGCAAAATCTTACAAAATATATACAGATATTCAGACATATTGCTATAATAGAAAACTTATGAGATCAGGATATATGAATTATTGCGCACCTTTTCTATAGAACACTATGAAGCCATGAAAACTTTAAGAACAAACAAAAAATATTTCCTGTGTTCCCAATACTTTCTATAAAGAAATAAACATGGATGATAAAATGAGCTTCAATGATGTTTATTTTGTAAAACCAACCAATGAAAAATGAAACCCTTTTTTATAGTATATAAGTACAGTATGAACCGTAATTACCTTTTAGTGGAGGGAATACAAGAGATCTTTGCATACTTCTTTTTGCTTTTTAGAAACTTATAAATGCCCACTGATGTGTTATTGGACAGTAATAGCTAGAAGTTGTGTAGTAGAATTGGAGGTGGTTACCTCTGGAAAGTTCAGCAGTATTGTTTTATAACTTCCTTAAGGAAAAAAAAAATCACTTCCAAACTCTTACTGAAATATCATTTTTATGTATCAGATTTTTAAATTGGGAGAAAAGAATCATAAAAATATTCCTATTATTACATGATAAAACGTTAACTACTTAAAAACCCAGACATGGTAACTACATGAATGAATAGACAAATTCATGTCCTAACTTTGAGTTTCATTCTAAAAAAATACCACACCTGGTAGCTAATCGTACAGACTCAATTTGCACCGTTCACCAGACAGAACACCTTTCAATGACCATTCTTCCATTTTGCTGTTTACGGCTCTACTTTATTGGTCCACAAAAAATTTTTCCAAGAACCCTCCCCAATTTTAGATTTTTACAGATATTACAACTCACCTCAGTTAACACTTCCTGAGAGGTCCTGTTATCTTCAGACCAACTGCCAACAAAACTCAGTAAATTATTAAATCACTGAACCACAGTGTTCAAAACAGGTATAAGGATAATTTTTAAGAAGCTATCCAGATCAGTGCCACTGAATTACTGAATAGAAATACTAATATATTTCACTCTTATTAAGTAATTTTGAGAAAAGTCACTGTTATGAATGAAAAACTGATTTGGCTTTATTTAAGCTCTTCTCTTTTTGACTTGATACGTCTGAAATTTATTCAACGTGTATCATTAACGATATTTTTTATTTCCTGAATTACTTCGTTCTTTGTAACAACTTGCTCCATTTCCACCATTTCAAATGTTTTTGTCTCATTTAATAGAATACAAGATTTTGCTGAGACCACCACCAATGTCTGTACTGAACTGAGTCCTACCGAGAGGTCCTTTTTATCTACGGTGCTTTCAGTCCCTGCAAAACCGCTGCTTTTTCCTTTCAAAAAGTGGGATAAGCCTCATGCAGTGCGGAACAGCTGCTAAGGTCAGAGTAACAGCGTCTTTGGTAGCAAGTGAATTCTTCAGCATCCCGAAAACCAGTGCTTAATCCCGAGAGGAGCACGCGAAAACACCTGTCCTGTCCCCAAGCACTGTATCTAAGAACCTTCCCTTCCCAGTTTTAATTAAGGAGGCGCCCACTGCCAGTGGCACTTGGTTGAAAATGTGACAAATTCCCGAAATACACTTCCAAAGGGAGAATGAGCTGTTCGGAGAAAATCAGACCCCGTTCTCTAGAGAAAGCCAAGGACCAGCCCAGAAAAAGAGGCTTCCCCCCCACCTCTTTCTTTCTCTCTCTCTCTCTCCCGCAGCGGTAGAGAAAGCCTCGCCCCCTCTTAACCCGCCCTCCACTTCCCACCCCGCCTCAAGGAGAAGTTTGCCAAAGCTGTCCGGTGGCCCCTCCACTTCCGGTGCCGCTAAAGCTGCGCCATCCCCCAGTCAATCGGACAACCATAGGTTCCAACTGACCTTTCAAACAGACCTGCGATTCCTCCGATCTTCATTAGGTCTTGTTCTGGAGGGAACCGCGGACGGGTGCCGCACTAAATAGAAACTAAGGAAGAAGGACTTCCCTATCGTCTCTCCACAAACATGAAACGCGATAGATCTGCGGCCACCGCAGCCCAGACAAAATGGCGCCGAGAAACAGGTTTAGCGCATGCGCCTAGAAAAGACTCTGTCCCGCCCCCGTGAAAGTCCTGGCCGCCGCTCTGGGTTCGGTTTCCATGGGACACTCTCGTGCCAATCCTTGTGCGGAACTGTTCTTCCTGACCCCTCAATTTACCAATCAGTGTTCAATCAAGCACATCCGGAATTTTTCCTACCAATCCTTTTTCAGTACTTGCTTACTCAATATCTGATTCTCCAGTAATGTTAGATCTCGGAGGCAGCCAATCATAAGTGGAAGATGTCCTACCTGCTGTTTTTCGCACCAATCCGTGAAGTTTCAGAGTCACATCCAATGAGGAAAGCAGGTAGCGATCTCCAATCCGAAGCGCTTCGGCGTCATGAGCAGCCAATAAGAGTTCGTGTAGAAGCGAGCCTGCTCAACAGCTTGTTATTTGGTAGATTGTGGCAGTAAATCGGACGAGTGGGGAACCGGGCGCAGGAATTGCCGCCGCGGTCAGGAGTGGTGCTGCCTAGCCGGGGGCTCACGGTGGTCAGTGGGGCGGAGGCCTCGGGAGCTGACAGCGCGCACTTCACTCACAGTTGGTAAGTGGGGAGGAGGGAAGTGGGGGATACTGAATGGACCAAACGGCAGTAGCAGCTGCTGCTTCTGCCTGGGGTCCCAGTGCAGTCGGAAGCTTCGGAGGTGGGGAAGGAGGTGCTAGGCAAGCAGTGCCGGGGAAGGGGCAAGTAAGTAGTGGAGCAGCTATAGCAAGTGCGGGAACCGCCGCCGCAGCCTCGGCCGCTTCCCCGGGAAAATGGCTGTGGGGCTGGCCGCGCCGCTAAGTTTGCTTCCGTGCCGTGAGGAGCGGGCTGCTTCGGGGAGCTGGCCCCCAACTCCGCGGTGCGTCCTCCAGTGTAGAGTCCGTCGCAGGACCCGCTCCTCCAGAGAGGCTGGGGGCAGGTACCTCTCTGGGCTGTACAAAAAGTTGAGGCGGGCGCTGGGAGGAGGCGGCGGCTGCCGCTGTGCGGCTCCCCTCCCCTCCCACACACTGTCCGGGCCACCTCCCTCCTCCTCTCCGCCCTCCCAGCCCCCTTCCTCTGCGCGGGTCTCCCTTCACCCTCACGCTTCCCGCTGAAGGCCTCGGCCCCTGCCACTTCGGGTGAAGCGCTTCTTTCTGACATGGTGCAGAGCGGAGGAAGGAGAGCAATGGCGCCGTGACACTCCGCTGCCGCCACCGCGGGCCCGGGGCGGGCCGAGGGGGCCGAGCGGCGGAGGCGGGGCGCGGGCCAAAGTCGGGGTATCCGGGGGACGGCCGAGCGAAGACTGGGCGACCGCGCCTATCGGGGACTACGGGAAGCCCAGACCGTGCCGTGTCCTTTTCCAGAGCGATCGGTCCTGGGGATCCGAGTTGAGCATTCCAGGTCAAAGTGGCGAGCAAGGCGGGGGCGCGGTGGGCCGCTGGCGAAGTCCAGGGCAGAACGGGCTCCCGCGGGGTGCTCGCTACGCCCTCGTCCCCTGTGTCCCAATTACCCTCGGAGGGGATCATCTTATCCCATTGCTGGTGAGGGTTCTGCCCTTCCCCGCTGGCATTTGTTTACTTTCTTTCGTTGAGTCGCTCTCCCCTGTAGACTGATTCTGGTTGTCTTTCTCCCCCCATGGTTCTAGCGACGGAGTACTTAGCTGGTTGAGCTGGAACCCCATAGGTCACCAATAAAAATGAAGGTAAGTGGAGTCATCGCCGCTGTGAACCTCGTGCCCTGGACACAGCCTGTCGAGAGGCTAGTGCTGTGTGGAATGCCTTTTTCTTTCTTTTTCTTTTTCTTTTTTTTTTTTTTTACTCAAAATTGATTCTTTTACTAAGCAGCGCTTTCTGAAAAGGAGGACGTGTTGAATGGGTGAGAAATGATCATTGTGTCTAAATGCAGTTATTTCGGCCCCTCTCTGAAGCAGTTAGCACTTTGGAAAGGCTGTTGCAGGTTTTCCATTGTTGTCCATTGGGCTAGTATTTTTAAACACTTCCTGTGTTGGCAGCAACCTTTGCAGAAGTAAAGCTTTTGTCCTGCTTTGGTTCTTTGGGGGAGTATTTTGAAATTTTTATTCTTCCCCAGTGCCAGTTTGATTTTCTAAGGAACAATATGCGATCGTGTAAGGGAGGTAGCATTTTCGGTGGGGATAAAGTGAAATTCTGTGGCTAAAATATTTGAAGGTGAACTGACACTAATAGTTATAGATCAGTTGTTATACTAAGTATGTTTAAACATATAGCCAACCTAATAAATATCTGTATACTTCTGAAGACAACTAATATTGCAAACATATGTGAGGTTTAAAGGGAAAGGAAGGATAACAGTCTGAAATGCTGCAGCATAGAATGTTTCAAGTCAGATGCTCAGTGTTTACTTGCTAAAGATACTCCTTTTCAATTTGCATTATTTGTAAATACACTAACTGTAGTAACAAACTATAGAAATGACCCCTGAAAGTAGAGTCTTTTATACACTAACGTTAAAAGATACTTGATTCCTTAGTCATTTACCATTTTAGTGTAGCAAGCTCAGGAATACAGCATTTTCTTTCCCAAATTTTCTCTTGCTTTCTTATCTCCGTGAAGTGACGCATATAACCTTTCATGTTACTTGCGAAACCTTACTGGAAAATGAAAATTATTTTCTACTTAAAAGTATACCTCTAAAATGTACACTGTAACTTTTGTACTTAGCAGTGTTGAATCAAAGTTGTGTGAGTATTACTTTTTGAAGAAAAAACAGGGAAAATGACAGATTGAGATGGTAGTCATTCTGTTGTTAAGATCACAATGAATCTGAAATTTCTCACACCTTTCAATGTATTTTATGGTGATTGACTAGACACTTCTTAGCAAAGCCATGTATATGTATCAAAAAGACTAGTGTGGTAAATTACTAGGGCTGCAAATCTTGAGCCATCAGTTTATATCTGTGCATTCATCAGACTTAAATCTTTAAAATGCAGCTTTTAGCCAATGACTTTTTTCAAATAATGCTCTCTATCAAAAGGATTGAATTCATTTCTTAGCTGTACATTTATACTGTATCCAAAAAGATCTTGCCTTTATGTAGCTATATTAATAAACATTTAATTATGTATTGTTGGTGTTAATTTTAATAACATTGTATTTTAATTTGGAAACAAAATGTTCCAGAGGACATAATTGAATAATGAAGTGTTATAGCTATAATTGGGTAACTTAAAGTTTTACAAGATACCTAATATGCATATATTTTTGGTTTTTTCCTTACTTTTAATTTCTTAAGTATATTGTAAAATTGTCAAAATACTTTGTCGCTGAAGGAAAAAGTATATTACTGTATTTCCCTACTGATACTCAGTTACTGTGTAAAATGTTTTGTGTTATCAGGATATAGTTTATAAAATAGGGGATTGTTAATAAATAAAGTGCTTGCTTTGGGATATTTTCAAATGATCAGTGACAGTAATGAACAACTAGAGTTATTGTTTTTATTACTTTAAACACAGAACCTTTTTATGAGACTTGAGGTTGGAGTAGGGAAAAATAGTGAAATTTACTATTCCTTTATATTCCTTTCATCAGGCGGCGGATGAGCCTGCCTACCTGACAGTGGGAACTGATGTAAGTGCCAAGTACCGAGGTGCCTTCTGTGAGGCAAAAATTAAGACTGTGAAAAGGCTGGTAAAAGTTAAGGTAATTTTTTTTCTTTTTATGCAACAGCTTTATTAAGTCTCAATTGAAAAGTATTGGGGAGGTGGGAGACTGCAAATCAACAGTTTATTTATTGAATCATTACTGAATGTATTACTGTGTGAAAATACCATTATATATAAAGCTACAGAAAAAGCACATTAAAATTTGAGAAATAAAGAACTCAAAATGAGAAATTATTCCAAAATGTTTCCACGAAAGTGCCAGGTTTGTGTTACTTCCTCTCATTTGGATCTTTCCTGTTTGTGGTGTCATGCTTACTTAGGCTATAACCTATTTCTCCTTTTTCATAATGTTCACGTTGAGACAATTTCAAGTGATTAGGAAAGTAATACAGTGAGAATTATGTTTTGAAGAAAGCATTAAAATGATTTAGGAATTTTATTTTTAAGGCGTATTTATAACCAGAAAAAAAGTTAACATATTATTTCTGTACACTATTTAAAATATAGAAATGTACCAAAGGATTAATGCCAATCGCTTACCTCTCAGAAATACTATTAACATTTTTTGTTCCTTACAGTAATTTGCCTATACAAATGTTTTTAATAATCTTAGTTATAGTTCATTAATTCAATAAATGTTTATTAAGTGCCTGTAATATGCATTGACATTTGCTAACTGCTGGGCCCATGTGATGAAGGAGGACGCTAGCCTTCAAGTAGTTCACAGTTAATGAGAGAGATAATAAATGTAAATAAAAGACAATGTAATAAGTATTGTAACAGAAGTAACCACAGGATACTAAGAAAGTATAGATTAAACATGTTACAGTGTTACCATCAATGTATTGTTTTAGAAGTAATGTGAATTACTGTGCAAAAATGTTTTTCAGGTACTCCTGAAACAGGACAATACTACACAGTTGGTGCAAGATGACCAAGTAAAGGGTCCTTTAAGAGTACGTATATTCTACACTTTAAAATTTCAAATGATGAGCCCTGGCTGGTATGGCTGAGTGGGTTGGGCTCTAGCCTGCGAGCCACGAGGCTGCTGGTTGTATTCCCATTCAGCACATGCCTGGGTTGTGGATCAGCTCCCCAGTTGGGGGCGTGTGAGAACTGATTGATGTTTCTCTCCCTGTCTTTCTCTCTTCCTTCCCCCTCTCTAAAATAAATAAAATCTCTAAGAAAAAACAATAAAATCTGAAATGATGAGTTCATACATTACTTAGAGATTTTTAACATCTGTAGATAACAGTTTAAATTTTTGTAAGAATGTTAACTGGAGAACAAAAATACAAATATGGTGTTATATAATTAGTATAAACTATGATGTTACATTGGCTGTGTCCTTAAGAATGTTAAACATCTTACAGAAGAATAATTTAATATATAAAAAAATGATTTTTCTGCAGCCCTTTTTTTTAAATTATTGCATTGAATG